CACGGCAACCTGTTCTGAGCTTTTGTGATTGGTTTGCTGGTGCAACACAAGTCAAATGGAGCCGTCAGGATTCGCATATTTTAGCTTCATCCCATGACCGATGGCTACGGATCTGGGACGATAGGAAAGGCGCTGTTCCATTAAGGTCCATCAATGCACATGAATCAAAAATATATGGTATTGATTGGAATCGTACTCGTGCCTCGAGCTTAGTCACTTGCTCTCTGGATAGAACAATTAAATTTTGGGATTATGAGAACGAATCTGATGTCCCAGAGCGCACTATACATACTGGATTCCCGGTCTGGAGAGCTCGACACACACCGTTTGGTTGGGGAATCTTAGCTATGCCCCAGGACACTCCTGGAGACCTTCATCTCTATGACCGGCGTATCACGGGTGACAACTCTACCGACACTATCACGGAAGCAGTCATTACCTTTCCAGGGCATGGCAATTCGAAAGTCAAAGAATTTCTCTGGCGAAGTCGTGGAAGCATCACAGAGGAGGGAGAAGACAATAGAGAATTTCAGCTAGTTTCGTGGGGCGAGGACAACCAATTGAAAATGCAACATGTGGACCATGACACACTTGAGGGAGTTGGCTATGTAAAAGGGAAGAAAGTGCACGGAAAGCTCAATCTCACACGTAAAGGAGCAGCATACAAGACCTTTCGTACTACGGAAACATCTGCAAGCGATAAAAAGACCGCCACAATCACAGGTCCTCGACCTGGTAGTTCTGGTTTGAAGTTGAGTTCGTTTAGTGTTGGGATGAAAAAGATGACCTTGCCTCACACAGCCCGTACTCATACCACAATACGCGCCCCTGCTATGCGAGGAAAGGAAAAGGCAGCGAAGCAAGAAGACTTGAATCAGTCCCAGATTGGCTGGATGAGTGGAATCAAGTTCTCTAAACCTGATAACGGATCTATGCGGCGCAAGCGATCATTATCGAGAAGGTTGTCTTTGCTGAGTCCTGAATTCGAAGAGGACGGTGATTGGGACGAGCCGGAGACTTTACACGATGAGATTATACGCATCAATGACCAGCTTCCAAAAATTACATTTGATGGCGTTGATATGGACAAAAGGACAGTCGTTGTTTCCATGAACGGACCATGGGGTGAAAATGGTACACCCATTTATATCAAGACAACAATTACCTTTCCTGACCAGTATCCGGAGACCAAGGCCCCCACCTTCACACTTGGTAGGACGTCCCTCATGCCCGATGAAACCTACAATAAACTTAGAAAAGAAGTACACCAAATTGCAGCAAGTTTTGTAAGCCGTAAGCAAGGTTGTTTGGAAGCTGCTCTATGTTATTTGCTTGGAGAGGTTGATCTTGAGACGAGTACTATATTTTTTCATGATATCGATGATTTAGACGATGACGATTTGGATGGTCTTGCGGACGAAAGCTCAAGCGATGAAGAGGATAGTGATATTCCTCCAGGTGCTTCGGCAATGATGTCTCAAGAGCTAGATTCCAGTGTTACGGCGGAAACAATCAGCATACCACGAAACGTCAACGTACCACTACCTAGACTTTGTGGTGCTCGCTTTGCAATGAACGGCAAGCTTGTATGTTTCTTTCCACCAAAAGAAGATAAAGTGAAGTCTTTACTCGAGAAAATTACCGATTCCAGAAGTTCCCGACCGAGAGGCGAACCCAATTTTGATGCTTTTGGTCGATTGGCAAACAATAGTTCACCCCAGCCACGCATCAAGGCTACGTCAATGACTGAGGATAGTAAAGCTGATTCTGAAGTATCAGACGAATATGATTCTTCAAACAGCAGCGATACTGATTCTTCACAATTCCGCATTACTAGATATCCTGCAATGAGAGAGTACTGGCGTCGATCGAATCGTCGATTTCCTCTCAGAGGATCGCCAACTATAATGTCTCAAAGGTCCGGTGGAACCGGAACTGGAATTGGTACAGGGACTGGAACCAACACAGCCACCGGAACTGGCTTTAGTAGGGTGCGATCTGTGAAGCCGAAAAACATCATATCATTATGTGATGTAAATGATTTTCTTCCTGCAAAGGTCTACCTTGCAGAGGAATATACCATCTTTGGTAACGGTCCGTATCTTTGCGAACATAATGCAAGTATTGCTGACAAGTACGGTCATTCTAAATTGGCTGATGTATGGAGGTATGCTGCTATGCTGCTACACAATGATATCCCTCTTGAAGTTCTCGAACAAAGCCAACGCCGTGAGCCTGTGCTAGTAATAGCTGAGAGTATGGCAAAGAGACATCGTCATGACAGCGGCTCAGACAGTGGTATCGATGTTTCTCACGACAAGCACCGTAGACGTGGCAGCTTCTCTGGTAGAGTCAAGTGGGGAAGCAGTCCTCTTGCCAAGCAATTGATTGGAGACCTCTTCACGCACTTTGAAGAGCTTCGTGACATTCAAATGCTTGCAATGCTATCTTGTGTATTTAGTGAACCGATTGCTTCTGGTGCACCATCACATGCGATAAACGCCGATGTTGGCATGGCTCAACCGCAGACACCTCTCTCTATGAAGACTCCTGCGTTTTCTGTTGATTATTTCCCAAACAACGGCGCAGCTTGGAGTATGTATCAAAAGACTCCAGTAGATTCTGCAGTGTCAACGCCAAAATTGGTTAATACGCCTTCTGGAATCTTTGGTTCCATGGGATCTTCTACTGGTGCTTGGGGCAGTGACCCTGCTTCGGCATCATATTCTTGTGGTGAAACCCCCCCTCTGAGGTCAAATAGAGGAAGCTCTGAAAATCTTCCTCAACATACTCAAAGTCTGTCGACTTCTCCAGAAAACCCAAGAACCTTCCGACGTGGAAATTCGAGTCTTGCCTCAAGTTTTGCTGCAAACTTTTCGCGTCCATTTTCTATGACTGCGTCATCTTCACCACCGAATCCACCACCAAGTCGGAAACGACCTAGCCCAGTTGAACACATGTTGAGCTTGGCTCCTAGTGCTATCACATGGGGAAATACAACAGTCCTTGGCAGCGTAAAAGAACGAGTTGGTAACGAACAAATGGCGTTTTCGGATGATGAAAGCACAATGGATGAACTCAGGCCAAAGGTTTGTATCGGGATCAAGATGACATTGGAAAATCAAAACGGGTTTGACGACGAAGGATGCATGGGTACGACACTATTGGATAGTAGCCACATGGCTCGTCACATGAGCTATCGTCAAGCCTACGCCGAACTGCTTTATTGTTGGGGGCTCCCCTTGGCTAGATTAGAAATCTTAAAGTATGATGGACTACGGAACCACACTTCTGAGATGGATATTCCCGACAATAAGTCATTTGCTGCCTCAATAATGTCTAATGATAGCCATACTGTGATCCACGAGGCATCGCCTCCATCTCAAATAGTTCTGGGTAAAAACGATCTGCATGCCTCATCGACTGATCAAGGTCTAGACATTGCGGGCTATTGCCTCAAGCACGAAGCGCGTCTGGATCCCCTACACTTGAGTTCCATCGGCGGTGCTGCCGGACGATGTGATCGCTGTAAAATTGTTCAGCGCCAACTTTGTTGCACAATTTGCGCAGAGCCTATCAGCGCGGTATTCCTACCATGCTTGTCATGTGGCTGTGCAACACATCAGCATTGTTTGATTGAGTATAGATCTACCGGTAACAGCGAATGTCCTGGTGGATGTGATTGCGATTGTGGAGATAAAGCCAGTATGGGACTGATAGAAAGTCTCGGTGTTATGATTGAGTTCATGCGCGCATTGGAGCGGAAGAAAGCACTTGACAACAACGAAGATGTTGAAGAATGGGATGTGCCAGTGGAGGAAAAAGACGATTGGGAGAATGTTAACCTTCCTTTGGGAGACTTAGGTCGGACTCCTTCTACATTGACTAAACGAGTTGAACAAGTCAGAAGTGGCGATTGGAATGTCAAGAAGAAGCCGAGTAGTTTGAGAAAGGAGGAGAGTTTCTCGTTTCTTGCTTAACATCATTATGATGATTGGAATTGATCGGCAACGAAGGGATTTGATTAATGGCACGATATGTTGTGAATTCCAAATTTGGTCAAAATGCGATCGGAATTTATGGGATTGGCGTTTCAGGGGAGCAATGTGAGGTTGGATGGGCTTTGAAATGACCCTCTGTTGATATGTAATAATAGTATTCTGTAATAATATGATGCAATGATATCCAATTTTCAGTGTCCCCTTTCGGATTGCGTTCTCAAGCGGTGTCAATTTCTGTTTGTTTTTCCCCATCTTCATCACAATAGGGCTGCAAACATTAGGCAGACGTCTACAAGTGCTTTTCGTCTCTGAAGAGATTTCATCGTAGCATCTTGAACTAGCCGTCATCTCTGGATTATATAGGAGAACAATTGGATGACGCGGTGATAATGAAGATAGATCAACTAATTGGTTCTTCTTCAATGTCTTTCATTTTTCCTTTCTAAATGAACCTTTTGATACTTAGGTAATCATTTGTCCCTCCATTTCCTATTATCCTTTGAATCGATCAATTGGCAAAGAAAATTTGAGCCAGCCGACAGAAATCAGCAGGCAACTTTAAAAGACGGTCGACTTGCAACCATACATCATCTGATCCACGGGCAAGGTTCAATTGATTTTCTTTCTCATTCTCAAATACCCCAGAAATTCTCGGAATGTTAACTGCTAAACCTAACATGCTGATTAATCCCATGGCTTTGACACTGATGTATTCACATTCGACTCCAAAGTCTGCAGGTATTCTGTACTCAGGGTTCTATACATGCCTGGTTTTTGTTATATATCGTTAGGTCATCATCCGCAGAGATTTTTGTATTCGATCGTAAGGATTTTAAGTTGTTGAATTTTCACTCAGTTTTTTAACTATGCGACAGGCGAATCTGAAAATTCATTCATTACGCGATCAAATTCCAATGCGTGACGCCATGTATCTCTTCGTCGAGATTCAAGACCGCCAGGTACGGGGCCAAGACGGTAGTGTACATGTGGTGTTTGAATATGGCTATTCAAGCCTTAACCCTTCCTCCCATGACCACTAAAACATTTTCGTACAGGGATAATCACAAAATGAATTCTATGAGTTCGAGAAGTGAACAGATAACTGAGACCTCAGAGCTTTGGGGAGAGAAAGAGGATAAAGGATCTTGCCGGAAGTGCGAAGTATGTTTGGACTTCTTCGAGGAAGAAACTTTGGAAGAGAACAAATCTGGACCAATGACAGCAGAATGCGATCATCTCACGGAAGTATGCTTGCCTTGCTTGCAAGAAAGTATGACATTCACGATGAGTGAAGGGTCGTATAATCTCACATGTCCAATCTGCTCACAGGAGTTAGAAGAGTGGTTCATAGAACTATGTTGCACAAAGACGACGTTCACAACGTAGTTTAGCTTTTATTTGTGATTCTTACCGATACTAATAAAACGTTTAGATCTTGCGACCTTGCACTGCAAAGTCATCTACGATCAGATTCGCACTTCTTTTGGTGTTTAGCCCCAAATTGTGGTTCTGGTCAAATTCGCGATGGGAATGATCCGAAAATGATATGTGGGAGCTGCAAAGCCTCGACTTGTGTGCAATATCGAACTCCATGGCGCCAGGGCCTAACTTGCACGCAATTCAACCTCAGCTCTGCAAAGGATGAGGGGTCACAGAATAAAATCGAGAAGACAACGGTAGCTTGCCCGAAATGCCATGCGAGGATCGAGAGTAGCAGGGGATGTCTGAAAATCATATGTCGAAATCGTAACTGTAAGTCGGCAAACAAATCATGTCAGTGCATTTGGAAAGTGCTAACTATTCTCAGCTTCCCACGGTGCTAGATGTGGCTTCAAATTCTGTCATAGTTGCTTGGCTCCATGGGGTTTCTTTGAACCAAAGCATAACCCCGGCTGTATTCGGGTGAGATAATCGAATTAAAATAGATGCTCGTTATGCCAGTTCATGGCCTTTTTAGATAGGGAGAGAGCAGGAAAATTAGACGGACATGAGCCCACACCGATTCCTCTAGCACTGTTATATCGAAGCCATTTCTTGACGTTACCCCAAAATATCTTGCCATGCACGAGGAACTTCAAATTATGTTACTTGGATGGTTGAAGACTGATAAAAAGGATATGGCATGAGGTTTTAAGGTAAGATTAAGATAGTAATCAAAGTATGTTTGTTTTATTCTTCGCTACTAGTAGCATGTACACTGGACGCTATGCTACGCAGCTTGCGGACGATCGGCCTCCTCACTTGCTCACAAAGTTTCGATTCGAGAATTTTATCCAGTGGTCTTTTTCGCCAGTAACTAATGGCTTCCGGGTGTCTTAGTTCACAACAATCCTTTGATTTTGATATCTAACTTGTAGTATGGCAGTAGCTCTAAAATCCTTTCATATGGTTATCCTTGTCCCGCTCACAAAATTGGAGTGGGCAGTATGAGATACGACAGATGAATCAAGATACGAAGAACCAATTGTGTTTTTGAGAACAAAGACGCCTGAGTAGGCCTTTGATATACCTATGTAACTCGATAGTATCATGTTGGAAGTTGACAAATTCTGATAGTTATCGCATAAAATCACGTGCCCTCTTTAGGTCTTGGCTGAACCTTACCGACTACACTTCATGTTTCCAAACACATCTTGGCAAGCCACAACATACAAACGTTCCGTCTATTATCACGTTCTGGAACCCTGTCAGAAAGCTCTGCATCTGCCAGATGTTAAAATTGGGATTATTTTGCGAACTAAACTACTCCAGAAGTCTAGATCGGCAAGGCGAAGAATGGTAGGTTTGAATTTCGATGGCTATTTTTAGAACTCGAGTTTGATATATGATCACAGAACTTCTCCCCAGGCTCTATATTTCTTGGACAGTTCTTGGTTCTCTCTCTTTAATTTTTTTTTGGATGACTGGTTCATTTCTAAGTACAATTTTCATCAAAACACTCATTTAATAAGCTTTTTTGATACGTTATTTCATTGCCAATAGACTTGGCTAATCGTCTTTCCTTGACATACTTACTTATAATCATTATAATTCTGAATCATGAAGCTCTCTACTGTCTTCATATCTCTTTTGGTTGCTGGCATCCATTCACTTCCCAACCCGGCCGTGCAACGGGAATCAGCCGGTATCACAGGTTAGTCTGACCTCTTCATTTTTGACAACACGATGCTAATAGCCGATAAAGTTGGTGCCGATGGATCAACCAATCTTGGCGGGGAGGCTGGAATAACGAAGAAGCCAGATGGCTCTACAAACGTCGGAGGGGAAAGCGGCATCAACGTGGCATCGGGTGCTAATAATCAACCGCAACAAGGTGCAGGAGGACAGACCGGTAATGGTGGCAACAAAAACGGAACCGACGGCTTGGCCGCGCTTATTGGATCACTGAATGGTGCATCTGGCGGAAATAGCACAGGTGGAGCGAAAAAGTCGAACAGCACAGGCAATGCAAATTTACCACCGGGAGTGGCCTCCAACTCTAGTTTGGCAAGCGTCTTTGGAGCATTGGAGGGTGCAAAGTAATTCAGAGTTTGAGAGGAAGAATTTTGAAAGATGGAAGTTTCTGAGGACAGACTATGATTTTACCCGGCAATTACCAATGGAGACAATCTTCATGTCCTCGAATAATTCTTCGTCGATGCAAGGGAGCTCCAATCACATTCTTTATCACATAACCTTATACAAGGGAATATCCACTACACAATAAGAACTCTTAGCCATATATAGGCATTCCTTCTTAGTTGATATATCTGGATGACCTGCAAACAAACTACTGGCATTTGGCTTCGTGAGTATTTCCACTAGAAAATGTGCACTTTGTGAGAAGATAAAAGCGAAAACATATTTCCCCAATCTTCTATGCTGTATGTCCTAAGCATCGCTGCCTCATGCAAAGTTCTCCACATCCTAATCTACTTCTCCACCTCCACGTGAAATCTCAGTGGAAATTACCAAACATCCTCATCCCAAATGGAAGCTCCCCTGATGTCATAACTTTGCAAATCTGACGATACCTTCCACAGCACGGTTAATATAGTGCTTACTATACACATTAAACCACAGATATTAGACTGACTGGCGGATGGATCGTCTTTCAATACTTGTAGGCATGTGTGAAGGTACGGCCTTGAGCACTGTAATTTGAACAATTTCAATGACATCAAGCTCCAATTTGGTTTCAATCAAGGTAGACAAATATGTCTATTTATGTGGTTGTTCTGGGACATGACCTCAGGGTTTTGAGCCATCTTCTATCGATGAATGAGAATGGATACATATCTCGTGAAGATGTTCCGAATCCCTCCATAACAAGACAAATGTGTCTATTGTTAGCATCATGGATAGATTCCAATTCGAAGGTGTCCAGGCATAGTTTGACTATCTGAGTCTTTTCCCGAAGATTCTTCGTACCATTCTTTAATTCGCGATCGCTATCATCATAAGTTGTCTTGGAGAGTTCAAAGACTCGGATAGCACGTTCCAGATAGAATCCAGATTTTATTGGTTATACACAGTGAAATGCTCGAATCAAGTTAAATGTACCTGCTTCTTATGGATACTTATGCCAAGCCTTGCAGTAGAAACCTTCCCCGTACCCAAGTTTCTCGACAACAAGGTATTTGTTTTGTGGGAAGGAAAACTTTCAATTGGAAAGAGATAGGCCTTTCAGTAGGCGTAAAGAGATTTTGCTTCACCAATATCACTGAAACAGCACATGGGTTTGGGTATGAGTGAATAGTGTCGAGAACAAACAATCGGGTTGATCAATCCATGAATGTGACAGGTCCTCTTATTGATCGATGATAGACTTACCAGCAATCTAGTATATAAGAGTACAAGACTATTCCCCCTTAAAGGAATAGAACACTTTTGTATAGCGAAGACACTGAATCTTTTGTGGAGTCTTCATATTGCTTGGTAGTTTGGTGTTACTTATGATTGATTTCGACCTACAAGTATTTTAGAAAGGGCTTCGAGAATACCCTGAACATTTCGGTGAATTGGTTCGAATTCTGGCAACCTGTGGTTGTCTCTAAACGTAGCCAGTCAGTGCTCATGAACACCATGCATTCCATCTAAGCATTCCACATTTCGGGAGCTTCTTAAAAGCCCGCCGTGATTACCCTCGTTTTATAATTCTTCGGTGCGACAAATAATCCCTTTGCCTCTACACAAACTCTCCCTTCCAATGTTTCCAGACGTCCTTCTACCCATCTCTTTCTTTCTCCACCTCCCTCCTCTCCTATGACTGGTGTACATCTCACTACGTAGAATGCATTTGTAACACTTGGCTTTAAATATTGTAACGACAATTGAGCAGTGACACCTGTTCCCGCGGCCAACTGTCTGATCGCACATCTCCCCAGTGATTCATCCATAATCGTCGCTATAAGACCTCCATGCACCACACCGGGCCATCCTCCTAATGCTCCTCCTAAGTATACAATCGATATGAACTCTCCTGTGGTAGAATTATAAAATACTCGTTGGTACCCGCCTATCGATCTAGATCCTCCCAATGGACCAGTAGTAAGTCGGTGCGGACGTTCTTCGGGTGTGAATGTGGAATAGGCATCCCAAGATTGCCAAACGGGATCCTCAGTTAGAGATTGTACCAGTGGGATCTTTGAGGCCTGCGCGTGTAACCAAGAGGTCATGAGTTCGTCCGAGGGAGAAGAGGGTTCGGGGAGTGCAGGGGGAGAAAGGACAAGCGAGACATATTGTCCAGTTGTGAGTCCAATTAGGAGAAAAAGAGAGGCATAGATTGTGGGACGGAGGGACCGTTTTCGTTTGGGAGATGAAGGTGAGGGTATTGGCGCGACGGGTCCAGAAGAGAATTGAGATCGCAGATCTCGGTGTTGGGGTATTGATTGAGATGAAGGCTCGGTAGTAGCACTAATGTTATGATTTATAGACTGTGGTGGTGGAGGTGTTGAATATGCTCGCGTTGACCATTTTGAGAGAGATTGTGATCGGAACGGATGTCGATATGTTTGAGAAAAGTGCGATGGTTGTTGAAGAATACTTTTGCACGAACGTAAGGCTTGAATTGGCAGTCTGGCAGCCATTTTGAGCCAATTTATTACAAAAAGAATGCCTTGATCTCTCTAATAATGAGCTCCATACAATTTTGGAAGCTTCAAATTAACCAGGTGCCTCGGTTTAGTTTCTGACACCATGTAGTCTAGTTTGCCTCAGATACAAGGCATAACATTATATATCAATGTCTCCATCCTCAGGGCCTGCCGTGCCTATGTTCCACGATTTTGTCAAGTCAAGCCAATGAAAAGACAATCGAAATGCAAAAGAAGGTAGTTAGGCTGTGTAGCTCTAATTCGACGGGGCGTTATTCTCTCTCAATGGGTAATCTCAACCACGATGCCAAATTCTTCAGCGGCGTTAGCTCTCCAACAGTTGGATGAGTATTATATTGCAAAAAGATGGAACTTATGTTTCTACTTTTCTTTTATCAATGCATTGTCTCTTTTGATCTTGGTTTGTATCCCCATAGTTCATATTCGAGTTTATCACCATCATCTCATATCCATCTCGAGACAAAGTTTTGGAAATGATAGAAATAGTTTTGCGCTTCTGGGCTATAAGATCAAGCAGATGGCGTCCATCAAAGGCGGCATCGAGACGATAGTCATCCTATCATTGATGTTCGCTATTGGTGAGTCTTCTGGTCGATTTCATCTTCATCTCCTGGTATATATACCGGGATCAAAGCCTCCTGCACTTACTCGCTGGTTATGAGATTTACTTCGATGTTGTTCTTTAGGAAATATACGTTTTCAGGATCTAAGATCCTTACGAGTAATATGGTAGTCTTCAATCATGCCGTTGAGTTCGTTTGGTAATGTAATAGCACGGATCAGACCCCATCATTTGTGTCATTCCAGACGAGCTCCACATACAGGATGCTGGGTTCTTGTACAGTGTACATGCATCAATAACGTCTCATAGGGACAATTCTGAATATCAGCTGCCTAGTCCTCCTAGTAGTCGACTAGGAGGTGGCGTGAGCGCAAAAGCAAGCTATGACCCTGATAAGAGAAGGCGCGATGCTCTAAGCCTGTTCTTCACGAAATGTAATATCATACACTTGCAACAACTCCCTTATCTATCCGCAGTGATTGAAGAGGGAATCGCCTATCACTCGGAGTCACAGCTAGAACAGCATGTACTGCCCAAGAAAAGCTAACTTACACTCCTTTGCAATACGTCAGCTCCGCATCGGGCAAGCATGCGGGCAGGCCAACATCATTCCTCTCGGATCAGCATAACGATTCTCGGTGTTTGAACCGCTCAGAATGTTTTTCCAGATCCTTTTGAACTTGATTCAGAATACTAGTGGGGAGAAGAGAATTGCTAGTGATACAAACTTCAATTTGCTTTTGACAAAGGCGGTCGTAAATTTTTAGGAATTCAACCTGCACGCGTCAAGCTATACCTTGCGTCAACAAAGCTTGTACAAAGATCTGACATGAAAATTTTGAGACAGATGATAGTGATGTAGTATTTCTGCATGATTAAGATATCGTCACGCCTAAAAATGGATTCCAAAGGTGTCAGAATCATGGCGAACGTCGTGTTCACACTATGATGGATTTATGTGTAGCGAGAATATATTATGCATACAAATACATATCACGTATTCTGAGCCCTGTCTGGTTCGATGACGGAAAGTACGATCAGCTTGCAGATGTGAACCTTGAATGGATACCATATACTTGAAATCGATTCGAATATCAAGTCGAAGATATCAAAGACTTGAATCTAGGGAAGAGAGGAATTTTTGACCGTTTAATTACTCATTAGACCCAGGACGATCTATGTACATGCATTGAATATCGCTTTTCCGGTTTTGACCACGATCAAACCATAACTCAATCTCCCCGCGGAGTAGTTTCCCAGTCTTGAAACCCACTTTCTCGAGCACTCTAGCACTGGCATCATTACCGGGAGTATAAGCCGCTATAATTTGTGACAAGGACTTCTTTTCTATGATAATTTTAGTCCCTTCTCCATTGCAAAGTTCCAGTTTCAACATTCTAACAAGCAAAAATGACAAACCTTCAAGATTCCAGAACATCTCTACAAACAATCTCAAAGCTTCTGTCATGTACCCCTTACCCCAATGATCTGGATGAATCTTATACCCCACATTCTCTGGTTTATGGGATATTCCGATGATACCAATCATTTCCATCTCTTGCCCTTCTCTCTTATCCGCCACAGATGCTGGAACGGACGATGTTGTCGGAGCCATGATTGCCCACATTGGAAATTGGACGCTGGACATACTCTCTAAGATCCTTCCTTTTGTCTGCTCGAGTTGAGTATTTGGTGCTCGGGTGCTAAATAAGTCATGTAAGGTCGGGTTCACTTTAGACTTTCACAGCTTAACTTGGGAGCCTTACGACCATTCCGCGATACGAGGCTCGGATAGGATCTTGTGACAACCATGAAGGTGCTTGTCCAGATTGATAGGTTCAAGGGTTAGCCGGTCAGATTTTATTGTGTGTGACGACATGATTTTGAGACTTAATAGTGATACTGGAAAGTGAAGTAAGGAGAAATATGTGAATGGGGAGTCTCTCAATCTTTGTCTTATGAACAGCGAAAGGGGTTGTATATTCGTTTGATATGAGATTCACATACCACTTGCGCAGTGACTCATGTAATGAAAAATACCTACCTGATTGGCTGTTTCAGTCAGCATATTCTACACCCTTGTAATCCCGCCTTGTTGAAGTTGGGGGTTAGATATATCAGTCACGCTAGTGTACCTAGTATAGAACGATGACGGCGAACGTTGAATAGAACAAAATTCTCGCGGCACCGATCGATATGAATAGCATAGACTTTCTGAGATTATTCAACGTCAACGAAACAGTATAGAGAAATCATTTGCGAATAGTCGATTTCAACGATCAATTAATCCACACGATTTTCGGGTGGTTGAGGAAGGCTTTGTAAACCAGCACGTCCACCGGTGAATGGTAGAATGATATTCACACTGGTCTCGACAGCAACCATTCTCTGTGCCTCACAGGTTTCTTCTCCTTGCCCCCTTTGACCCATACTTCGTGTTCTTCATCTTGCAAGTCTCCTTCTTTAAAACCCACCTTCTTTACTACTCTCTGACTGGCAATATTCTCGGGGTCTATAGCCGCTAACAATGTGTTCCAGTCTCCCTCTCCTGTATTCCGGTTAGAAAACTAAAGAGCATAATTGGCGTCATTTTTACATACTCTCTTTACTCCAGTATAGCCCCAAAAATAGCTTCATAGCTTCAGTAGCAAATCCTTTACCGTGATAACCAGCATGTATACCATAACCAATTTCCGCGCCGTGCCCAGTTTCGACTCTTATCACTCCAATTGCGCCAATCAGCTCAGGCTTTTGATCGGCGGAGGTAGGTGTTGTCGGCCGAAGTAGAATTGCATAGTTCTCAATCCACGGCTTTTCGGGGTTCGGTGTTCTTTCAATCATGTATGCTTTACTCTCCGCGATGGACTCGCTTGGTTTTCTAAGTTGGGTAGAGAGTTAGACATATCTTGGAGATCAAGACTGGGCAAAATTGAAAGGGCTCATCTTACGTCCATGAAATAGCTCGCGGATCAGAGATCATTTTGTGATAGCCATCGAGATGTTTCTCTACGGTCAATGGCTCTAGCCAAAGACGCTCAGATTGAGCTGCGTATTGTGCCATTGATATCCTGAAGGAAAATCGAATGGCTCCATGGCGCCGGTCGCTATATATAAGAGAGATTAAACCCTTTATATTAATGGCGCTCGGAATCGAGTCATAGTGAGATCTGAGTCACCACCAAAATCCTTACTTTTCATTACTCCGTATAGAATACGGAGATTCCGAAGATATAGTGGCATTCAGAACATCAACAGCGGAGTTGATAGATAAGCTTTGAGCGCGACCAACCCCACTATGTATTAGTAAATTTATAGTGAAGGAACACTAAAATATTTCCAACCATGTAATCAATTGCCCACCATCTACCTAACATTTCTTTCTCTCCTCTTCCTCATATGAGATACTTTGATTGCGTAGCACGTCCATCCTCACTCGTACATGTTGATGCGATTCCAAAATGTGGAATGCTATATTGCATTTCGACTTAGCCGTCGCAGATGGTCTTACCTGATAAACTGCAATCGCCCCAATGGAAAGGTATAAGAATGGGTGGCCACCATCCCTACATGAACGAATGGAGCCGATACATATTCCGGTCTTCAATTCAACCACACCATTGTCATTGGTGACTTTGGATAGGGGCGGCTCCCCGAGGCATACTTTCTTGCCTTCGGAAGGCTGTGTAGAGCTGACATGCAGCAACTCATTGGCATCTTTCAGTGAAATTAAATCTAGCTAACATACCGAATTTTTCTGATGCCATGAAATGATTCTCGACCATTTCTGCTTCATAACCAGTACATCAAAACATTTGACTGCTAAGTAAAGATCGAGTTTTGTGCAAATCAATAGTGCACTGCTGAATTCTGATGGGCAGAGCCTCAACGCACCTGTTTCCAGGGAGGTAAGTCACCGAAGAACATCAAAATCACAGTCGAAATGACCACAGCTGGAGCTGTAGCTCATGTTAGAATGTAAGGCAGTTATTGCATCTCCCATTGAGGGACATCTACTGACGTGACAGACAATCTGAGGACCTGTGGAATGAGGCTCTTAAAAAAGTACAGTTCACAAATACTTCAGCACTCGTCGCTGCGGGCTTAGACAGGCGACAAATTTTGGTAGAAATTTTGGAGTTAGTGCAAAAGCAGGAACTAAAGGCTCAAGAAAGAAAATGGAAGTGGAAAAAGAAAAATGGTCAAGTGATCATTATTCGCGACATATTTGTCAAGCTTGCAATCTGGATGGAAAAGTTCAAGTCTGTTGGGGATATACTTGTGCAATATGACCCAATCCACGCGAGTTTACCATGGGCTGTTGTTAGGTTTCTATTGCAGGTATATGATGCACCGCTGTGATTTAAGATTTGGCTGTTAATTGCATCGCAGGCTGCTGTTAGCGATATCCAATCCAACGGTGCTATCCTTGAAGGCATGGAGATCGTTGTCAATCTTCTAGCGCGGTGTGAGATCGTGGAGTATCTCCACCTACAGAAAGTATCGCGCGCGACGGCTCTTCTGGCCGATGCAATTGTTAAACTATATACTGACATTCTTGATTACCTTTTCCAGGCGCATGCATACTTCGAACCACACATCTTAAAGAAGATTGCAAACAGCTTCTTTCTTCCTGAAGAATCAACACATAAGTTCATATCGAGCATCAGGCAAAATGAATCAGAAGTTGAGAAATATACGCGCCTCGTCTCTGATGAATCCCTCGGTGAGATTAACAGGAACATGAATGGTCTCACACATTCCATGGATGTATGCCAGACGTCAATACAGAGTCTCCAGAAAGGGATATCATCAACGAAGCTACTGGGAAATGACTTGGGACAACGTCTTGAGCGATTGCACAAGCTCACACAGACGATTCAACAAGATACATCATCTGCAGAAATCGGGCGGACCAAATTGGAACACCATTTGGCCAACGCCTTAAACGATCTCAAGGACCCAGTGCAGCGCATTGCTGAAGACATATCTAGTGTACAAGATAATCTAAAGGAAAAGGAGCGAGTGAAGGTTTTCGAATGGCTTACAATGATCCCAAGCTCCAGCCACCATCGGGAGAAATTGCGGAACCTGTTATCCGGTTCTTGCAATTGGCTGTTGAGAAAGAAGGAATTCAAGGAATGGATGGAGGCTAGCATATCCTCCATTTTGTGGCTACATGGAATCCCTGGCAGTGGAAAAAGCATGCTTGTGTGCCATGTTATCGAATATCTCAGAACTCGAGCCATACAGCATCACAGCTCTGCACCTATTGCATACTTCTATTGTTCTCGAACCATCAATGAGCCTGAAAGGGCTGATCCATCAGAGATACTAAGAAACATATTAGAACAGTTGTGCTCATTAGATGCGGAGACCCCAATAAGGGAGCCTGTGTCGAAAGAATACCTTGCTCGGAGGAAGGAAGCCCGGGGACGAACCCCGGAGAAGCTCAGTCTTGGCGAAACGGTTGATATTATTTCGGAGTTGTTAGAATCCAATCCTGCAACCATAGTCGTTGATGGACTTGACGAATGCGATCCTATTAAGAGAAACGATTTGCTTCTCGGCCTGCAAAAAATTATCACGAATTCAAACAATATCGTCAAAGTTTTTGTTAGTAGCAGAGATGACCATGACCTCGTTCACCATCTAGCTCGTTCCCCGAACCTATACATTCATGCAACTGACAATACTGGGGATATAAAAATGTTCATTAAATCGCGCATCAAAGAGGCAATACGAGAAGATAAGCTTCTCTGCGGGCGTGTCTCAAGTTGCTTGAAGAAGATCATCATTGGTAAGTTGATAAAGAAAGCTAATGGTATGTTTCGACTAGCAAGTATGCACATTGACAGCCTCTGTGATCCATATCGGGTTAAAACGGAAGCCAATGTGCATTATGCACTCGACCACCTACCGCAAGAATTGGGAAAGTCATACGATGTGGTGATATCGCAGATCATGCAAGCCGAATATCCCAATCCACTGTTAGCGTCGCGTGCATTGAAATGGCTTCTTTGCTCCCGCGAAGCTCTGAACTCGAAAACCCTCCCGCAAGCCATATTTGTGAATAACGCAGGCCATCCACTATTATCAAATGACGAAATATTAAGCATCTGCTTCAATTTGGTAGTTTACAATAAAGAGATGGATAAGTTTCAGTTTGCTCATTTGTCGGTGCGGGAACATCTTGAGTCACAGCCTGGATACTCAGCTGAAGATACAAATCTGATGGCCGCGGAAGCATGTTTAAGTTTTATTATATCAGAATCACAAGACCCACCTGAATTTAGAAACCACGCAGTATCTTTTTGGGGTAATTATGCGAAATTGGCCCCCAGTGCGAGACGTGAGGGTATTTTAGGAGAGTTACTCGCAGAATTTTTACTTTCTCCTTTTGAATCAAACATTTCTGGACGTGCTAGGCTTCGAGGGTACCTGTACAAACATGAATATATGTTGGAAATCTCACAACTCCTAGAATGCACTAATGCGTTCTTGCTCTGGACTGTTTTCTTGGCCTGCAAGCATGATCTCAGCGAAATTGTCAGACGGCTTCTTTCTCTCGCAGATTGCGAACACACTTTCACTGCTAAAAGCTTTATGGGTCTCAATTGTGTCCAAACTTCATCATATTTTGATAGCCCGATGACTATCAATCTACTACACGACATAACAACGTCTCTACTGCCAAAAAAGTTCAACCATGATTTATATTGGAGTTCTGCTTATTATGTTGCATCCCACAGAGGGAGCAGGCGGGCAGCCCAGATAATATCGGAGATCCGAACGAAGGAAAAGAAGTTGTGCACGCGGCCTAGAAAGTGTTGTGTCAAGCCCATCGTCAACCACTCGGTCATCGGAAGTTTACTCGCCTCCCAATGCTCCCCTGAGACTCAACCCCGAGAAGTGATGCGACCCACGTCGCTACTCATGCTTCAGAATAACGATGCCGACATAGTATTAACGCTATTTAAATCTTTCGATGAGTGCTTCGGATTATGCAATGAATGCACCTTTTCGATCTTGAGGCCCCTCGATATGGTGAGCTTGAGTCTTGCGAACGCCTTTGCCCCTCTTAACGCTGTCGAAAATGATACACCATCTGCAAAACAAACCAAGATTACCGCTATGGCTAAGATCATTTCGGATATAATGAAGATTCCCAGCAAAACTATGACTGGAGCTCGTGAAGTCTCTTGGGTAACATCGATTATAGCATTCGGAATGATTTCGGGCCATGAAATTTATGATAGGGATATTTTCATGCATCATTTGACGGAGGCATTTTTGTACATGTCGTTGCATGAAAACAAGTCGACCGATGGTCATAATATGACTTGGAACTCACATTATCGCGCTTTACTTCGCAGTGTGATGCGAATCCGAAACGTCGTAAATGAACAGAAATTTATGTATTGGGACGTCGTTCTTCTGGCGCGAGGCCTATATTGCGGCCGAGATGCGCTGCTCGTATTACTTAGAGTACGCACGAAAATAGCCCCAAACCTAATCAACCTTGCATTGTCTACCTGGGATAGAGAAATGGTAAAGGCGTTGTTAGAGTACAACTCAATTAAGATTGACAATGAAGTGATTCGGTTCGTGGCGGGTAATGTAAAGCACGGCAAGGCGATAATGGAAATGTTATTGGCTCGAGAAATGGAAAGAGAAATGTCGGAAACCGTGCATGAAACTGCGCTCGAAACTACGCTTGAAAGCGCACAGTAATCGGCGCTGCAATCCGACAATGGATGACTGTTTATATTGGGATCCTCTGGATCATTCGGATTATTTCAGACTTCGATCTTTTTCTGGGGGTTGCATTATATTCAGATATTCACACGTCACAACTATTGAAAGCTTTCGCACTTGGTCTTCTATGTAATTTTCTCGATAACCTATTGCATGTACGACTAGGTGAAGCGTTGCGATTAGGAGAAGGATTGCTAAAGAGTCAAAGACTGAAGTAGGTCGTATGGTTAGTCAACTCGTCAGTTTGTGTAAGGTCATAGGCGTTATCTGTTTGCTATACAGATCTCAGGATAATAGTAGAATCTTCCTATATTCAGGCTGTCTCTTTATAATAATGATTGGTGAAGACATGTGTAATCTATTGGACGACGGTTGACTGAACACCCGAATAGACAGCGAATACTGTAGAATCAGTATCATGTACTTGTTAAGTTCGCCTTTCAGACAAACAGCTCGGAAGAAATTCAGCTCGGAATCAAATCCTTTAATTCAACGGGAAACCATTGAAAACACCAGTTAGTCACAAGCAAGTAATAAAAAGGTAAAATTGACCGCATCTTCGAGGAAATCAGAAAGTGTATTCTCTTACGCTGTTAAACCGGAAACATTTTGAGACCCCATTTCTGTTCTTCATGGTTGCGAGTAGACTGAATTCTATTCCCGTTGATTCCAGACCGCAGATGTCCTTATATTGATAATGTGGAGCAAATCGTAAATACGCGAGAGGAAAAGGAGAGCAGACTTCGATACAATCCGGTATTAATAAATAAGACAAGAGAAATATGCAAACATAACTATCTGTCTTTATCAAGAAACTGCAGGATTGGCATAGTTCGTGTTCTTATGAATAATGCTCGTGCATTTTACAATGCAAATACCGTGTTATCCCAGGTAATGTAAGTATCACTTCGATGCTAAATACGTGGAGTCTAGAGGGTTGAGACGGTGGATTTTCTATATTTAGATTAGAGATTATTCAGCTCTGACTTCTGAGAGCATTACGCTCTGATTTACAGGGTGAAGTTGGGGATCAAAAAATCTAGTATTTATGTGATGTGACTGTCAATGTATTATATGAGGATTGGAGGGGGTATGGTTAAGGACCGATGCGGATTAGAAATTGCGGTGAGCAGGTTACAATCTTTCTCTACAAATAACCGAAATGTTCGATATCAGATGCAAGAACAAAAATAATTGTAATTTTGATCCTAGCGCAAATGGTAAAAAATATGAGGATATAAGTATGCTTTCTAATATACAAACTTCGCTTAAATACGAAAAATAATATCCAATTCCTCTTACAAAGTCTAAGCATCTAACTTCAATCTTTCTAACAAGTTGTCTATCTTTCCAAGTAAAGTTTGGTAATTTATAGCATCTGCGGCAAATTCATCACCTGCAATTTCACCATTGAGAGTCCGTATCTGACCATTCATCATTGGATCAAGGACAGGGGACTGGGTTGGGTTTATATCAACCACTGTGCTAGACTTCACAGCATTCGCAGATGTAACATCATCGATTACTCCCTTTTCATCTCCGTTTTGTTCACCGTTCTCATTTATATTCTCATCCATCATATCTTCGAGGCCCGAGTCTTCAAATCGGAGCCTGAAGCGTTCTGATAGGTAAAAGCGAATACTAGAGAAATCTCAGTCAGTATGCTAGACATTGTTTCAATCGAATCCAAGCCTTCAAACTTCTTTCAAGGCTTTCTTATGTTCTAAACCAAAGCCAAATTTTTGAAGGTAGCAAGAAAAAGGAATTTGGGTGACATACTCATCGAGTAATTCAATAGTGTCAGTCTCCTGTCTCTTTTCAATTCTACCCGCACTCTCCTTAATCAATTCCTCAAACTCTGGCTCATCAATATAGTCTTCCAACCTATACGCCATGTACCTAGCACAAAATTCCTCTAGTCTTTGGACTCTTGTCAACCATCCAGCTCTCATAACATCATAAGGGTTAATTAGCTCCACATCTAATTCATCACTGTCGGTGTGTGTGCGATCAGCCAGTGTGCTCGAACCATTTCCGAGAGTGCTTATAACTACTGCAGCTTTAGTTTTGAGTTTCTCAATGAAGAGCATGTCCGCTGCAAGAAGAACGTCTATCGCAAGATCGAGAGGAATATCAACACTCTCGGTGTAAAGAAAATCGAGGATGAGCTCTAGTACAGCAGGGGGGCAATCGACGTAGATAATTTGCAAATAATCAGTAACCTGAGCTTCTTGAAACGAGGAACTAAACATCGTTTGGAAGTATTCTGATCGTATGAGCATAGCGCGGTGCGCAGGATAGAGTATAGATTTCTGAGGTGAATTGGCGGTTGATGTCTCTTGGGGCAATGAGCTCGAGGGGCCAACAGGAATACCATTTAGGGAAACAGTTGTGTTAGGTGTTGGCGTTTCTGGCCCAGAACTCAAAGCCTCATCGGAAACTACATTTTCGTTTGCTTGTAACAGAACATCCGCAAACATCGAATTATTCCTAGTCCACTTCACATCCTTGGCCTTCACGGTATCGATGTGTATCTTATGCTTCAAAACATTCCCTCGATACCAAGACTCCATCTGATTCCTTGCTCGTGAAACTTCATCTTGATACCGTTGCCGAGCTATTCTTCTATCACGCCCACTCAAGAGCCCTTCCCAGAGGGATTCAATCTCAAGCTGTTTGCTGATCTTATCAATCCCTTTGAGCACATCGTCCACAGAGCTGCTAGATCTAAGACCAAGATCTGATGGCACTTCACCCATGTATAAATATCGAAAAGCAACCTGAAAACATTCTGGGGGAATGGAAGGTTCTAATTTCCATGACTTGGTTTCTGGGGCAGCAGAAAGCTTTCTTTGCATATACGGTGACCGGGCAGAAAGTATCATCTTGTGTAAATTCCATGATTCTGATCCAGCACTGAGTGTTATGTCCGAAGTTTCAGGAGTCTGCCTAGTAAGAAGAGAGGTGATATGAGAAGCGAATGATTGTAATGGGTCCCTAGACTTCGAATATTCGTACTTTAATAGAAGGTTTCGAATTCGATCGTTCAATGCGTTGTATAAACATCTCTCCCCTTGGAATGTATCGCGTTCGCAGAGAGCTCCAGCTTCGAGAAGTAGTTGAACTACATTGTAATGCCCACAAAGACTTGCCTTGATAATTTGTCAGTGAGGTCAATTGGTATTGGGAATAGCATGAGGCTTACCAAGATCAATGGCGTATAGTCAAACGGATCCCTAGCATTGATATTGATTCCAGGAGTAGTAATTGCTTGCTGAACCCTCTTAACATCACCAATTCGACAAGCAACGCAAAGCTCTTGGAATTCGGGACTGGTATCAAGGGGACTCTCATCTCTCAAAAGTCCTTCCTTGATCAACTGGTGCTCATCCTTCAGTTGAACTTCGAGCTCATCTTTCCGTTTTACCATTCTGAAGGGATGTGTGCAAAGAGTATGAAATAGAAAATGTGGGAGTAATCAGCAGTGAATTTCAGATAGCGAACGGCACAGTATATGTATCTAGTAGTGATAATAATAATAAAATAGACAAAGATGTAAAAGTGTGGCAAGATTGAGAAGCTACTGATTTTGACACAAGCACATGGAGGGGGAAGAAAGCTTATCGATAAAAGAATCCGGATAAGGGATCGGAGTTAGATGTTTCAACCGTCATCCAAATTTCGGACCTTCACCGCTTCTGGCATTATCAAAATTTCCCCAGGTGATGTCCAATTCTGGTTTGGTATCAAATAGTCAAACGGTTGGAAGGGCAACCAAAAAGTAAACACCAACCTGAATGAATTAATTCACAATCCATCTTCATCAACTTGGAATAAAACGACAAAACATCGCCAACCTCGAATAAATTACAACAATACTAATGTTAATTGCTTTCTTTATTTAGATCAATGCAAAGGTCTTCCTTTTCTTAAACATAATACTTTCGGAATCATGACAGAAGAAAGCAAGTACGAAGTTTTGGAGAAGATAGGTAAGTCTTCAGAGTCCCAGAGATTCTAACGTGGTTCATATTTGATTTGTTACTCGTTGCGCCAACTCTTAAGTGAGACAAAACTAATATACTCTATCTATTCTGTAGGACATGGTTCTTTTGGTATCATTCGAAAGGTCCGAAGAAAGAATAATGGAGAAATCTTATGTAGGAAGGAGATTAACTACATGCGGATGTCACAAAAAGAACGGGAACAACTACAAGCCGAATTCGCCATTCTTTCCTCACTCAAACATCCAAACATCGTCGGATACTATCATCGCGAGCATCTAAAGTCCAGTCAAGATCTTCATTTGTACATGGAATACTGCGGAAATGGGGATCTTGGTAGAATTATAAAGGATTTACAGGCAAAAAACAAATATGCTGAAGAGGGTTTCGTTTGGAGCATATTCGCACAATTGGTTTCAGCATTGTATAGATGTCATTACGGAGTCGATCCACCAGAAGTTGGAAGTAATGTGATGGGATTGGGAAATACCGCAAAACCACAAAAGCCAGCGCCTGGTGTTATGATTCTACACCGAGACTTGAAGCCCGAAAACAGTGAGTGTCCTAGGTATATACGGTTGTGTTCCTTATGCTAAGTTTTATAGTCTTTCTTGGTGAAGGCAACTCGGTGAAGCTTGGAGATTTTGGTCTTTCGAAATTGATGGAATCTCACGATTTTGCTTCTACATATGTTGGAACGCCATTCTACATGTCCCCAGAGATCTGTGCCGCAGAACGATATACATTAAAGTCAGATATTTGGTCGTTAGGTTGCATTATGTACGAACTCTGCACACGAGAAGTTCCATTTAACGCGAAATCACACTTCCAGCTTGTGCAGAAGATTAAAGAGGGCAAAGTCACACCAATACCAAATATATATTCGCCAGAACTTGCATCTGTTATCAAGGACTGCCTTAGAGTCAATCCCGATCGACGAGTCGACACCGTCACATTGCTCAATCTTCCTGTCGTAAAGTTGATGAGGAAGGAGAAAGAGGTTGTTGAGCTTGGTCGACTTTTGAGGACGAAAGAAGAAATGGCGGCCAAACAATTCAAGGAGCTTGAAGAAAGGACAGAGAAGCTCGAAGCTCAGAAAGCAGCTATGCGTGCCGAGATTGATTCGTCATTGCGAAGAGAATGGGAAGTCAAGGCACAATTGGAGATCAATCGTTTGGTGCAAATCGAGGTGGAGAATCTACAGAAACGATTTGAAGAAGAGGTCCGAATCCGAGTTGAAGAAGAGCTACAAAGATCCGCCAACAGCTCTCGATCATCGAATCCAGACAACGATACTAACTCAAGCTCTCTGACTGCTAAAGAGTTGTGTCCCTCGCCAAGCTCATTGGACTACCCAAGATCATCAGTTGGTAGCACAGGTGATGACTTTTCATCGACCACAGACTTTACCGATCATACCATGTCACCGGAGCCCAGCAAACCGTTCAAGAAATCCACCAGAACACCATTTTCCCGAGCACAAACCATGTTCAATGTACATGGAACTCCCATGGATATCGAGATGGCCGATCCATCACCAATTTCAATTGCCTCCTTGTCATTATCTCCACGCCGGAACAATGCAACCAAAGCTCCTGGCACCAACCGAAACATTTTTGCTGCTGCAAACGCAAATGCCGAAATTCGCTTACAACCTCTTCTACTAGATTCTGATTCTGAAGATGAGGATGATCTTCCAGTGCCTTCTCCTACACGACCTAAATCTAAAAACAATCCATTTGCCAAGGGTGCTGCGAGACCACATCTCATCTCACAACGTACAGCACCGTTACAGAAGTTGAACACTCAGCCAAATTTTTTGGCAACCAAAAATTCAGGTGGATTGGTTAGTAAGAAGGAAGCACAAAGCCCAGTAACTAAAAGACTATCGAGAATACCAAGCATGACGAGCTTGTCAGGCAATGATACGGCAGGAAGTCCAACACGAAAGTCGAGTTTGACAAAGAAATCTGAATCAGACCTACACAAGCAAGCGATGAAGAATAACACCAAGACGGGAAGTGCACCAACGATTGGAAGAACTCTAGTTGAATTAGCACAAGCTCGTGCTGGGGGAAGACCAGTTGAGATGAGCCCTAGCGGAAAGGGAAGATCATTCGGAGTGAGAATGGTAGAAAAGGAAAAGGGCGAAGGAAGAATGAGGGGTAGTGGAGGAAGTATTGGAGATATGGAGCCAACGGTGTGGAACCCCGACAGAGATGAAATGCCAAGTCCCTTCTTGATCAGAAACAGATATACAGGGGCCGCAGGGCGTTCGAGATGATTTGATTTCGGGTTGCATTTGGTGTTTGTTCTATGCGGGTATGAAGGGGCTATGGGGAAACAAAATTGGCAATCAAGTGGTGGTCATGATAACGAAACACACGCTATGACTAGCTTTCTTTTGTTTTTGTAAAGATGGCTCGCGAGGAGTGATTTGGCATATCATGGTTTAGTTTGGCGATCGAAGTGGTATACTGATTTGGCGTTGGGATTTCTGGGGATGACTTATTTTTTTACATAGTTTTTTGTACTGTATCAAGTGCACAGTAACTCAGTTTTGCGCTCGGTTGGATTGGTTGGGTGGGGTAAGATTAAATTGGGATTGGATAATGAATGGGTACTTGAGTTGGTCCTTTTCGAGGGCCGGGGAGGGGGATGAGCGAAGGGAGAGAAAGGGGAAGAGAATCATATATGTGAAATAGATAGTATAGGTCTTCGGGCATGCAGGTTCGAAAAATATTATACATGTATCATATGAAAATTGTCGAAGAAGTCGAGTTTGAGATTGTCCCCGCTGTAGACGCCCCTTTGCTTTCCTCGCCTAAGTAATGCCCCACTAATTAATTTCTTCTCATTATATGGATATTTGTATACACTGTATATGACGATTTATTACTCGAGTAGCTACTCACTGAAGCGCTGAGTTGGTTGAATAATCAACTACTTGTTTCTGGCTCATCCCGATACGATTCCATAATTTCTTCCCAGGTATTGTTGCACACTCATCCAATTACTTACTTTGATAGATATGGGTACTAGGTACTAGGTATTCTGTCCTTTTGAGTTCTGCGTTTTAGAATAAATACTGTAGGGGCTTGATGGATATTTATGTATGGGGGGAGGAGTGTGCGTGTGCGTGTGTGCGTATGTGCGTGTGGGTGGGTATGAGGGAGGGAGGGAGGGAGAGGGGAAGGAAGTATAGTGTGGTGGCGTGGGTGGGTTAGTGTGGGGTGGCGTGGGGTGTCCTGTAGTGCAATTTGACATATTGTGATTGAAGTCTAAAATCTAAAATAGATATCGATATGTAATCCCTTGTACTTTTTGGATATGGATAGCTAGGTAGGGACGGTTAGATCTTGGGCGTTTATCTCGAGTAAACGGTTTATCTGGATGGGGTCCGTGAAGGGGTAGAGTCAGATGAGTTGTGCGTTGCGGGGTTGTTGATTAGTATGCGCGGTGGAGTTATTGGTGTGAAGTGTGGAGTGTGAAGGGTGAAATGAAAGCGATTGATTTAAAGTGTGAAGTATCAAGTGCGATGAGGTATAGTACTTTTGATCTTTTCTTTCTCGCCAAGATACATCGACGTTCGAGATTAAAGAGGAGAGAATCGATATTTGAGATTCAATATTTGAGAGTAGAGATTTGGGATTCGAAATTCGGAAGAGCTGACAATAAAGAGTACAAATTAACATTTTAGAGATGAGAGGTGGAGAGGTGGAGATGGAGATGGAGATGAAGATGGATACCTAGGTATATATAGGTGTATATATAGACAAAGGAGGATGGAGAGAGAGGGAGGGAGGAGATGTAATCATAATCATATAATCACAATCATACAATCGAACAATAAAATTCATTTCCCATTTCTCATTTCCCATTTCTCATTTCCTCCTCTCAAGGCTCTCAAGGCTCTCAAGTGTATCATTAATACAAAAAAAGAAAGAGATAGAGACAGAAATAGAGACAGAAATAGAGACAAAGACAGAAATGAAAGTCAAAGAGGTGAATATATATCAACTTGGTGAAACGGAATACAAACTACCTCAGCTACCCAGCAAATGACGTATTGATCATGATACGATAGCTACCTACCTACCTTCCTCCCTAAGTAAATATGTGTTCCAATCTTCCAATATGAATACCTACCCACTACCCGGATACCTATCTACCTACCCAATATCTACCTACCCAATATCTACCCACTGCCTTGTGCCAGATGACTACCTCTCCTCATACCTCATGCACATACCATACGCATAGCATTACAAAACTAATCAACTAATTAACCAGACAAACCGAAAATTTCTGGGTATACGCGTATGTATGTATGTATGTATGTATGTATGTATGTATGTATGTATGTATGTATGTATGTATGTATGTATGTATGTTTATATGTATACGTATAGTTTACCTAGCACCTAGTACCTACACCACGGTATAGAAATACAATCAGGGTGGTGATATCATATAGAAGAATTGAAACTGTAGACTTTGAGTATTAGTGAGTTCTGATGAGAATTCAGTTTTTTTAAGTAGATCAGTTCAGAGGAGGAGACATCATGAGAGGTAGTCGTCTTCGGGATCGTAGGCCAAATTCGCAGAGAATAGAACGCCGGTACCATTCACATTTACAAAGGCTGAGAGTAATATTGATGTAAAGAGGAGCGAACGGCCAATTTCTAGCTAGCTATTTATTTATTTCCTTCTTTCTCTATTATGCTATCTAGAAATCAATATTATCAAGAGCAAGAACGCGAAATAAGATCAAAACGTATGCGAATTATTTGCGACTCATGTGTATATGATGCGCTTGTCTGAATCACTCATTATTCTTTCAAATCCGTCCTCCTATGCAGCTCAGCCAGACCATATTATAAGCGAAAGCCATAATTGCAAACATCTCCGTAACCATTATTCACCATCCCAAGGTATAAGCCATAGCCACCGACCGTATTTACCAAAATTCACAACCATAATTACCACTGTCAGCTCAATGACATCCATTTATTACGTTGTCATATCTATGTCTTCGTGTATCCGTGATCGTATTCGTAATCGTGTCCATGCCCGTGTCTCGCTGCGCAATTATAGACGTGCGCCATAATGTGAACCGTCGGTCTTACTCATTATCCGCAGCAGCCTCTCTCTCCTTATCCATCATTCCAGTTCTCAATTCGCTTCCGGAACCTCTACCGCCTCTATACAATCTTCGAGATTGATGGAAACCTCGGTCTCCTCTTCCACCCTGGAACCCACCTCGTCCTTGGTCTCCAGGACCAGATCTTCTACCCATCCATCTATCTCCACCATGCGGTCTATATGGTGGTCTACCTCTGCCACCACCTCTACCACCTCCCCCACCTCTACCTCTATTGATCTTGAAGTCAATTCTTTTTAATGGGTTCGTCACCATCTCAGTATCTGCAATTCCCAACTCTTCTTTCTTCTCTTGGTCGTTAATAGTCCAAGCCTGAAATATTTGACCTAATTCATCTACGCCCCGTAACTCATCAACCCAAGCAAGAACGTATTCAGCCTTGGGATCGTAATCAAAAGCCTGTTTGACAGGGTTGAAGATCCGATCATTGCCTCGAGGATCATTTCCAACTCCGGCAACGTATTGCCAATTACCCCAATTTGAGCTCACATCATAATCAACCAAAATACATTCGTACCACTCTGCGCCGATTCTCCAATCAATGTAAAGATGTTTCGCGAGGAACGATGCAACATTTTGACGAGCGCGGTTGCTAGTGTAACCCGTATGATAACATTCTCTCTGAGAAGCATCAATGAATCCCATTCCGGTTGTACCGTTTAGAAATCTCTCAATGATCTCTTGTATTTGCTCTTTTGAAACACCATCTCTTGGTGAATCCAGCCTACTCCACTTTGAATGGGCATTTTCTTCCTCCTTGAATCCACCCAATTGGAAAAGCTTTGGTCCAAATTTACGAGTGCAGAGACGCATGTAATCTCTCCAAAGAAGTTCGAATCGTACACCATACGTGCCTTCGTTTTCACCCTTGCCGTACCCCTCGAGATCTTTGTACCGGTTGTCAGAATCAGAACCGTTCTCAAAGAGAGACATGGAAGAATGAATCTGACGTGAAGTAATTGAACCAAGAGCAAGGTACGCTGAGAGTTTTGTAGAGAAATCAGTACCCATAAGCCCATTGCGACTAGATTTATAAGCGTTAATTGAGCCAGAAGTAATCAAGTGGTCGAGTCGTTCTAGCGCATGGGATTCACCACCTGTAAAAGGATGTACCGACAATGAATTCTCCGGGTAAGATGGAGGGTTTTTGATTAGAGGTTGCGCATTGATTGGCGTGAGAAGTGCCCTCTCGATCTCTTCGTAATTTGTCGGTATCGTGAATGGAGCATGTTGGGGTGGAACATCGGTAGGGAAGGGTGGCAATGAATTCTTTTCAGGTTTTGGTAAAGTTGGACGAGGCGCTTCGCGAAGGGGTTCAACACTCTTGCGATAAGTCGTGTACACATCGGGAAGATCTTTTGGATCCTCAAATGGGATATCTCGACTATATTCAAATCAGTAAATTTGGGAGGAGGAGGGGGGGGATGGAAATGGATGATGGGTGTGAAAACATACTCATCAATTAAATATTTCTCATCTCGCCACAATTTGAAGTCAACACCGGTCTTATCGCAAATATTCTTCGTTGAGCGCTCTTCTCGTTTCTCTTCTACTCCTTCTTCGGAAGTCATCCACACTGCAGAAACCTTGCTGCCGCCTGTTTTTTCAAATCCTTCGATTAAATCTTTCACCACTTCATCGACCATACCCACCCTGATAGCCAATCCACTCCCAATCTTCTCGAGACCACCCTTCAAATCCCACACGCTTTCCGCTAGGAATTTCGCTCTGTGGGGACCACATCTCCAGAATGCGCCGATTTGACTTCTGGCCTCTGGGTAAGGACTCTTACTTCCATCTTTGGTGATAAATCCAGAGACTTCGATTTGTTGTGCGGCAAAAACATAGAGTGGGAGAAGATGTGTGAATCCATGATCCTTGCTATCAATGAGAGAATGAAGGATAGGGTTATCGCCCACTCGCAGGTCCCGGCGCATGAGATAAATCAAGACGTTGGCATGCGACATCTTTGCAATTGTGGCAATTTGTTGATGTCTTTGTTTGAGAGAGATGGAAGAGGTAGTCAAATCAAGAATTGATTTAGTAGTGGAACAGAGGCGAATCATGGAAAGATCCGGGGAGAAGGGCCGCCTGGTGGTATGAGATCCGAAAGATTCACCCCACAGGTCCTGACTCAAGGACAAATCAACCGTTTGGGATATGTCTTGCAGAAAGCTTTAGGGCAGTGGTGGGGTTTTCTGATGGATATTGAATTTTTGATGGACCAAAGTTTAAAATGTAGGAGAGACGCAGTGATTCTACTCGGAAATGATAGAGTAAAGAGTATCGGTCGTAGTGGTCAAAAGTAAGACAATGGAGTGAATGGAAAGTTGGAAGAGGGAGAAGTCGGCTGGTAGGGAAAAGGAGGATGGAGAAGAAAGGTCAAGCACGTATGTGAGACTTGATTGGATCTCCCAGAAGACGAGATGAAATGAATGATCAGTCAATCAAAATCAACCAACGTTCAATGATTTGGAATGAAAGGGAAATCTCAAGTAATGAATGAATAATAGTTTTCAGCGGAATTCCAATCAAATCAAATCAATCCACCATACCATGATAAAGATGGGATAGGTAGGTTAGAAGTATCTGTCTGTGACTCTGTGTCAATCAAAGTTAATGAAGAAAGAAGAAAATGGTGAAAGTAAAAGAGGAAAGTTGGTTAGATAGTTCTTCAGTATTTGCAGTACCTGTACCCAGTACTCTATTTACGGGTGGTTATTCATTTGATCAACTCATCTGGACCCGATTCGAATGGAATTTTTTCTTCTTCTGGATAATATTTATTGGGTCGAAATTGCTTGGTGAGTTCGAGTCAAAGGTAGAATATGGACATGGACAATGTAGTGTACCCCGTAGGCAGTGGAGTGTAGTGTTGAAGGCGATGTTGTGTTGATGTGTGCATGTGTTGCTGAACCAACGATATATACGTTTGCTTTGGGATGGATGGATGGATGGATGGATGGATGGATGGATGGATGGGTGTATCGATGAAGATGGATGGGATTGTTTTGTTTGTACACCCAGAATGAACATCCACATCCACATCCACATTCACATTCATCCATTCATCCTCCATCGCTTCAATCATTCTTTCCCCACGATGAATTCTTTCTTTCTTTTTTTCTTTCTTTCCTTCTCTCTTTCATGATAGAGACGAAAGTCACCGTACCCAAGTAGTATTAATGACATCTTACCTCTTGGATCTCGTCTGCCACTTAAAATCGTCCGATGTTCCTGTGCAAAGATTGAGAGCTGCCGTGCATTTGGTGCTAAAGTGATCGATTGAGGTTGGTGTTTGCTTGTCAAAAGACGATGCTCAAGGCTATGGTGGTAAGGTGAGGATCGCCCCACTTTATCCATCGTGTTCGGGAAGCAGCCTTACCGGATTCGGTTAAATCCGATCCCAGCTTTTTCAATGGAATCCTCACTTTGAGCAATCAAAGCGCGTGAATGCCGTTTGGGGGGAAAGCCGCTTGATATTTATCCAGTGCTGCTTTAGAGACACTTTCTGTTGTCTTTCTTCTCTCACACTTTCTCATATCAATCTTCACTCTTTACGTTTTTCTCTTCACTCACCCATCTAGATAAATACCAGGGAAGCATCAATCCATCTCCTTGGACTCTCTACCTATCAGCTTCTTTCCTACCTCGATATTCTGCCTACTACATAGATTTACACCACCTTGTAATTTATGCTACCTCGTAATATATATCATATCAACACTTCTCTCAAAGATATACACTCGTAGTTCACATCAAGTCTGATCAAGATATCTCTTGCAGATATCCATTACGTGAATTCTCGTACAGTATCTCACCAGATCCACCAGATCCATCAGATCCATTAGATCCAAATCTATCTCATCTATATTCTTACTCCCTGTCCCCTCAATTCCCGATAGAAAGGTACCAAAACATACCACCAGATCTGAAGTCGGGAGATAGATAGAGCCACGATATCTCGGTCCCACAATCCCTTACTTGACGTGCCCGGAAAGCGTTCCAACCAAATCAACGCTTTTCTCCCACCTGCAGATCCCTCACTCCTCTCTCACTCCTACATGCATCGATGGGCGTTACACAGTACCACCATTGTAAACATCGTAAACGTGTCATTCGAGCTTTTACCATTGTGATGGATGAACAGATACGAACCCCCGACCCCCCCTCAACAATCTCGTTAATCTCTTTCCGAAATCATACAGATCTGTCAATCAAATTCGGAGATATATACCTGGGCACTGAAAAAAGAAGAAGATTCATCCTCAGGTGATCACTCAACATCTGCAAGACGGTGGAGTACAGCATATTAATGCAACACCGTTCCAGATCGTGTCATCGGTATCTTGCATTAGTTCGATGTTGAAGCTTTCTTTTAGTCGATGATTTCATTAAGGATCAACTTTTGATGATGAGCTAACTAACTCTTCTCCCGAGGTCCTTTCAAATACTTTTTTTTTTTTTCAACGTCAAGGCATGTCAAGGCACGTCAAAGCATGTTTTTCACAAGAAAGGAACAATTAGTTACCATTTTCTAATCGATAATTCTCATATCCAACGCAACAAAAATGAAAGGATGACCGCTTCAGAGGAATACATTAATAATTAGTCATCAACTGTTTTCGAATTACATTGATATCGAATCAAGTCATTCACATGTAAATCATTAGTCATAGCATTCTACTGCAATCACACTTCCTACCGATTCATTCGTTGCTTTGAAATACTTCATCTTTCTTTCCCGACTTGCCCTCCGTATTCTATTCCGACTTGCCCTTCGTATTCTATCCCGATTTTCGTCCCGAAATCTATTCCGAATACCACCCCGAAACTCTAACTTTGATTCCTTTTCCTCCACCTCTTTCCATTGCATATCATACAATAGGCATAACGTCGAAGTAGGTGACGAAAAACGATATGTATAGTGGAGAAGGACCACTTCCAAAGAAATGATCTTCACACCCCGATCCTTAAGTTTCCACTAGCTGAACTCTAATAATTTAGTTCCAATCCTAAATGTGTTTCTACATTCCGTTGTTGATTTACATCGAAAAAGCACTCATGATCTTTTACGAGAGCGAGATGTATGTTCTCGGAAGAAAAGCGTTACCTTTCATGTGGGTGATGTGATAGTAGTTGAAATGCAGCGCATTTCACCTCTGGTTCCATGGTGGAAAGTAACAGTTGTGATGACTTTCGTATTGCAACATGCCTAGGTATGTGAGTTTTAGGATTCCACTTGAGGGATCCCACATTGTCAAAAGTTAAATCTCTGTGTGGAAGTTCCTCGTTGTGAGAGAATTTTATACACTCATTCACTCATTCGTCTTGGTGATGAGAGATGCATCGTATGCGATACGATAGAGAGATGCCATGGATATCTAGGTACGGCATTTTGGATGTGCTTTCTTTGCACATGCTGCGATGATCAAGTGAATCACGTCTCAATCATATAGTAGGCCGGTCTATACCCTTTTGATCTTTATCTTCAATGGCATTTATGATTGATGTATGGAGTTTAAACATCAATTCGTATTGTGGAAAATTGAAAACCAAAAATCAAAACTCAAGAACCAAGAACCAACAAAGCTATCCGAACCTTGCCTTTTCGTTGTTGTTGTTTTTTTCACCTCGCGGTAGCAGTATCTAGCTTAGAAGATATCGAATCGGTTCTCACTGTCAGGAATCTTTGATGATTTACAAAGTACTGAGTAGTCAGTTAGGATTGGGGTCGAAATCACATCTATGATATGACACTGTAAATTTTTTTAATGGATGTACTGTTGATTTTTCTCGTTATTTCTTGTGTAGATATATACATCTCCAGCGAAATTCGAGTGCGAAATCATCTCGTATACTACTACTTGATCATTGGGTTTCGTCTTACATGGCTTTGCATTGGGTTATCATACCTACGCATGCTCATTCGCTTGTACTCATAGTATTTTTAGTGACGCCACTCTTTTTGAATCTTGATATCCGTGTAATGTTTCCAGGAGTTTTATGATATCATATCATATGATATAGTATAGTATAGTATAATATCGGAGATTGACCATCATGAAAGTAGCACCTCGAAAGATAAATATTATCAACTCCAGTCTTCAGATTTGCTGCTTGAGCGTACCCATGCTATGGAATATTTGAGGATTTCTAGTAGTGGAATTCTGTATGTATGTATGTATGTATATGTATGTATGTATATGTATATGTATATGTATATGTATATGTATATGCGTATCCAATACAACACAACACAATACACTCCCCATTCTAATTTCGAGATAAACACGTACCGAACCAGATACTCGACTCCAGACTCCAGACTCCATACAGTACTGAGTTCTCGGTAGTGCCGGACCAGTAGAGATGATTTGTGTATGTACTCTATGTGTATATCTCGAGGTGGAAAATTGATGGGTTGGACTGGATTGGATTGGATTGGATTGGGTTGGGCTATGGATATTCGATATTTTGTTTTGAAATATGGGGTTGGGGTTGGGGTGATGGGGTGGGGGTTTTTGTACAGTGGATGGAGAGATAGTATTGGATTCCTGTCTTGTTATAATCTGTATTCTTTCTTTGCTATTTTCAATCATTTAATTATTCATTTATGCTGGTTAATTGATTGGGATCTTGCAATTCTCATCTCGTGTTCATAGGAGGATTTATAAATTTATAGATTTATATATTGATTGCTAGTGAGGTAGCGAGGTAGCTAGCTAGGTACAATGTATAGGAGATCGGTAGCTGGGATTGGGATTGAAATTGAAATTGGAGATGGGATAGGAGGGTTTTGCGCTTTTCTTTTGTATTTATGAGTGGAGGGGGTGTATAGGTATTAGGTACCTATCTAGTTATATATATTTGAAGCTTCAGGAAGGTTGGAAGGGTTGGAGGGTGAGAAGGGGGAGGGAGTATGTGTTGGTTTCTGGTTTGGTTTTGGTTTGGTTTTGGTTTCTGTGGGTTGTAGGGGCTGGAATCTGTATTGTACTGGAGATTTTTAGCGAAGGGAAGGGACTTTGATTCTTAGGCGGTTTTTTAGGCGGCGACTTTTGGGGCGAGGGGGATTTGAGGTGCATTGGGGGTTTGGAAGATTTCCTGTGCTGTGCTATGCGCTTGCCTGGGTGATTAGCTAGGTGACTAGATGATTGGGTGACTAGGTAGGTAGCTTCTTATATCGATTCTTGCTCTTCATGTTCTCCTTGTGGAGATGGTGATCATTTGGTCTGATCTGCATTTCTCCACGCTTAAAGTTCTTCTAATGAGTAGTTGTGTAGAATCTTCACGCTTCTAATTCTTCATAGTCAAGTTCCTGAAGCCCTTTATTTATGTTCTTTGTGCCTTTTTGGCTTTGAATGGCATGTAGATTAGGTGTTTGATGTAGTGAATGGGAATTAGATGATGAGAATTCATTCACTGGATAATTGTAGTTTGGTTGTGATAATGGTGAATCATTGAGAGCTGCTTAGGGTAATGTTAGAAATACTTACACATCTCAAGATGCACTCTCATATGTGCTTTGTCCAGTGGCAGTACAAAGAGTTTACCCATTTCGCTTTCTTGTTTTATCATGCATGAATGATAAATCTTTACTATATTTACTGTGTGAATTTCACAGTACGATATTTGAGCTGTGTGAATGTTTGTTGGCTCATCCTGATTCGCTTATGTTGGGATGGTAGCCGTAATTTTGATTTTGTTCACTAGCAAGAGAAGTGGATTGTGGACGTTACTTACCTATATATTGGACAGTTCGGTAGTGAAGTAATAGAAAGATGGGTTCCTAGATCTTTGTGCATGTTAGAATAAGTATCTAACATTTGTTGATGTAAACAAACAACTTTCTTCAATTCTGGCATCGCACACTACTTCATCCAACACAGAGAGTCATTACACAAGCACACCGTTGCTCTTCAGAAAATACAACCCCATCAACCTACCTAATATCAGGTGAATCAAAAACCACTCCACCACTAGAGTTACAAAATGTCAGATCTCAACGAATCCCCCATCCATGTCCCCTCCCTCGGACCCTTCACTCCCTTCCACCCCTCGCTCACATTCACCAAACTCTGGACTCCAGCCGACGAGCACCATCTCCAAGAAGATTACCTCGCCAAAGATTTCCCCCTCTCCCCAAATCCTTTCCCACATACCATATACTATTCCTGGAACCTCCCTGCCCACGAGTTTTCGCATCCCGAATCCGATTACGTATGGCGCCTCGCGTATAAACTCTTCCACAAATCCCCGTATGATTTATTTCCCCGGATGAAAATGGGTTCGGAGCTCGATCTGTCGGATAGGGGTGTTTGTAAACTTGTCGCGCAGGTATTGTGTATACCCGGCGTGGAAGGAGATGTGGAGTTTTGGTATTACATCTTACAATATGCAGCGCACTTCGTGTGTATACGATGTCCCAGACCGAGGAAATATTCGGGGAAGACACGGCAGCCGGAACATTTGGATTTTATGGAAATTTTATGGAACAAATCTGTTTCTGAAAAATCTGCTATGATAAAAAACACAACCCCCACACTCCACCACCGAAGCAATTCAGATCCTTCCCTGACAGATAAGAACATAATCCGCAATCTCAAACTCCTCACTCTAATCACCACCGCCTGGGATCTCTACGCTAAACTCAGAAATCTCCCTCCACTTTCAACCTACGATTTCGATATCCGGCTCCAGCTTGCCGCTATCGAAGTTGACGAGCGCGTTAGCGTTGCGAGTTTTAGACGAGAGTGGGAAGTGCAGTGGCCGCTTGAATATCGAAGGAATGTGGTGAGGAGACATGGATGTGGATATGCGTATTTATATCGGAATGGGTATGCGCAGGAACTGGTGGAGTTTGTGGAGAGGACTGTGCCGGAGGGGTGGAATGTGAAGGGTGGGGATATTGATGGGGATGAGGATGGGGGGGAGGAGTCGTTTTATTCGGTAAGGAGTCTTGTGCAGGGGATTGAGAGGTGTGGGGGTGGAGGCTGGGAGGTGCGGTGTATTGGGAGACATTTGGCTAGTGTGAGGGGGAGGGAATGGCATTGTTTTAATGGGGGTGGGGGGTGCCATGAGGGTGGGGAGGGGATTTTATTTTTTCCGGTGTTTATGAAGAGGGGGTGGAGAGGGGGTGAGCTGTGTAGGGTTTTGGGGGAGGAGGGGAGATGGGAGAAGAAAAGGGAGAGAAAACAGGAACGGGAATTGTGGATTGGAAGAGTAGATGGGTTTGATGTGGAACAAGAACGAGAACAAGCACCGCAACAGGAAAATCAAGTGTGGACTGCGGGACCGGATGAGGTATTTCTGGATCAAAATGGGGAGTATGTGGATATGGAGAGTGAGGGGGGCTGGTTCATCACGAAAGAGAAAAGTGAAGCGTTGAGTGGGTGTAGGAATTGCTGTCGACCGGTTTGTTGTCAGGTGAGACGGAGATGGAATGGTGTTTTTGTGAGGACGGTGGTTTGAGGGGTAGGATGTAGGGGATAAAGGACGGGGATGGTATGGGCTTTTGAGGGGGTGGGGCTGGATAGTGGATGGGGGTTATGGAGCTGCTTATTCTAAGTAATGGATTGAGATGTTTGAGTAACGGAGGTACGTATCGTGCGTGTGCATATTTGAGGGCTTTCCCATGAGTTGTCTCTATATGTATCGACTAAGTTTTCATTTTCGTTCTGAAAGTCAAACATTGTCTTCTCAACGAGTCTAGTTTCCACAAGATTGGTGGTATAGTACACCAAGAGACCCTGAAGTTTCTCAAGATATCTCGTCGATATTCTCAGATAGTTCATGATGCGAAATCATCTCTGGGGTGTTGAGAATGGTAATCCGTAGGGTCGTATTTATTCGCTGGCAAGAGCTAGCGATAGAGGGTCACATCTTGGCGGGCTATTGCCGCCTAGGGAACACCGGTGGATACAAAAGCCGAAGGTAATGTAACGGGACCCCGAAGCGTCTGGTGTTTCCACTCGGATGTGTGCCAAGTTTATCCACGGTGAGGGAATATGTCGCCGAGTCCACTTTTTATACTGCGAAGTTCTAAAATTGGGATTCACAATTTCTTTGTTCACTTTTTTGCACATTAGGTTTTTTTAATGTAAGATTTTACTTTTAATTTCGTGAATAGTGATAAAGATAAGAGTAATGTCCCACCGAAAAATGCTCAACAAGGTATTTATCCATCCAAACTCCATGCTTAGGTATGCTCATGCTCATGTTCCTCCCATACTCATACATGCATGCATAAGTTCATAAAAACAGCCAAGAAACTCCAATCCAAACATCCGTTCACAAGAGCCACTCTTCTTTTTCTTCACCCATGTCCTAATATCTAACCTCCTCATCGTGTTCCGCCAATACCCCTCCAAGCTCACCCGCTTTCTTGCCCGCACTACTACCCAAACTCTTTCTCTCATCTGACTCTACTGTACCGATTCTTTCTGCCTCGAAATATCTAGCTGGTCTCTTTCTGCTAATCGCATCTGCATCCTTGAATACCAATATACTTCCATTTTCTCTGAACAGTCTATCAATATCCTCCAATGTTCTATCACTTGTCTCGGGATAGAAGAAGTAAACAATTGGTACAAACGAGGCATTGAAAATCGTCCAAATGATGTAGAATTTCCATCTCAAAGACTCAATTCCAATAGGTGTAATTTCCACTACCATGAAGTTGAAAATCCAATTGGTGGCAGTACCAAGTGCAGCACCTTTGGTACGCATGGCGAGAGAATTGATCTCGGTAGGGTAAAGCCAGGGAACACCTTGCCAACCGAAACCGAAGAAAAGGTAATAGACGAAGAAAAATGCGACAGAGGCAGAAGCGACTTCTTTTTGATGAGCATAGCCTTCTAATTCGTTGAAGCGGAGTAGGACGGTAATAAGGAGGTAACAGACTGCTTGACCGGCAGCTGCATAAATCATGAGATTTCTTCTTCCCCATCTCTCAACATTCGGGATAGCGAGCAGTGAAGCGGCAAGGTAAGATACACTATTGCAAGCAGCGAGAAGTCTTGCAAGGGTATTTGAGAGACCGACCGAGGAGATCAAGACGGTGGGAAGATAGTAAGATGTTACGTTGATACCACTAAGTTGTTGCATAGCTTGAGTTCCACAACCTAGGACGAGACGACGGATAGTTGAGGTTCCGGCTTCTCCAGTTCGACCACGGAGGAGATCAAACCAAGAGACACCATGCGCTTCTTCGTATTCAACAGCGTAGATGATGTCATTAACATCGTTGCTTACACGATCGTCTTTGATATCGAGATCTTCAAGATCAGCAATGATTTGACGACCTTCATCGATCTTTCCGTGGGCGATTAACCAACGAGGAGATTCTGGAAGCCAAGGGACAGTGGCATATAAGATTATGATGAAGATCAATTGGAAGGCGAGTGGGAATCTCCAAGTGACTGGACCGGAAAGGAAAGAAAATCCGTATGTAACCCAGTTACTAAGAGAGAAACCAGCGATATTAAGAATCATTTCGATAACGACGAGTTTACCTCGAAGACTAGCTTTTGAGGTTTCGGATTGCCAAACGGGTGCCGTGGATGTATTCATACCATTACCGATACCAGCTATGATTCTTCCCGTAATCATCGTGGGGACATCGTAGGCTGCGATTTGAAGGATGGCGCCAATGGTCATAATAGTTGTGCCCCATAGAATGGTCTTTTTACGACCGAGTCTTTCACCGAAGGCGACGGCTGCGATGGCTCCTACGAAACAGCCAATATCGTAAAGAGCGGTAATCGTTCCAACCAAAGCGGTTTTGCCATTGAGATTGAGAGTGTTGAGGAAATCCTCAGTAACGATAACACCACCTGGACTCGGTTAGGAAAGATCATAACGAAGGTAGAAGATAGACATGGTACATACCGAAAACACCTTGATCATAACCGAACAAAGTCATATCTGTTGCACAAGCAACCGTGACCCAGAATGTGAGCCATCCTCCCCTCATACCAAACCAAGGAGCCATATTTTTTGAAGTTCCGTGCGAAGAATATAGATTTACATGCAGTACAAGAATGATTCAAACGCAGTAATACAAAATATCATCTGATAATGAGAGAATGAGTCGAAAGAATTCTATACCAACAAGGGGAATAATCAACCTTTATATAACTAGCACCAACCAACAAACAGTACAACATGTGTGGAGAGGGCGAATACCAATGACTCGCAGAAATCTGAAAGATTCAAGCAGGAACATTAATCAGGATTTCAAGCAGGAACCAAGATCATCCCTCTCCCAACAACGTGACCAAGATTACACCCCATAATACCTTGGTATGCACCCCCGGATTTACTATTCGGGCAACGATTATCACGTCACTCTGTAGGTATAGCAAGATCCGAACCTTATAATGCGGGAATACGGAGTCCCGAGTGGTCAAGCTCAGTGCAACGCGTACAATAGGTGTTGGTTGTTCAGGCCCCAGCAAATCGCCAAACATGGGGTATCCCTTGGACGGTATGTCTTCGGATGTTGTGGATGCTATAGAAATTGGCCGTTCGGTGTATTTGTGGAACTCTCTCAGACTTCGAAGTTTGTTTCAGCTTGGCCGTGATAAGCTCACTTGGCCTATTTAAGCATTAGTGATGGAAGAAATGGAACAAATGGAAACTCTTTCATGGAAGCGAAAGTTTAAAAGCATGAATTGAGTGCAACTTTCGGATGGATTTATCCCTGCTTTTCATCCTCTGGGGATTGGTATTATGTCATTGAGCAGATGAAAAGTATATGCGGCGGGGTGAGGATGGAGACTCCAGAATTGATATGATAGTTATCGCACAAAGTATGTTGGGGTGCATTGTCATCCCGTGTTTGACGGCTTCATTATTCGGCGTAATTTTGGGGTTGCCATGCGGCATCGCATATAATACATTTAAGTTGTATGATGCAATTGATCATATAGGAGTTGTGTATATCATCTCAGGGGTAAATGAATGAATAAATGCATGTACTTCCTATTTGTGGACTGTAACGATTGTCGCGCGATAAAAGGAAGAATGGAAGACGCGCGCGTCGTATATCAGTGTTGGAATTGCGGTTGGAGAGAGTCGTAAGTTATTTATAAGAATTTCATGTCTGATTCAAATGCAGAATACTAGGCACCTAGCCATCATCACCAGAATACTATTCAGATTGCAACAGTTACCTACATATATTACATCCGTCACAACTTTGCCATACAATTCAATGGAAGTATCTCTCTCCATCATAGGCCACCTCCCAAAATCTCATTCTCGTTTGTTGAGCTATTCTCACACCCCATGCATTATCTAGTAACAAAGTGGGCTCGATGGGCATCCAGACAAAAAGCTAATTTCACCCCTGCAAAAACAAAATATCCACACCCCATCATTTCATTCGACATACCCCATCCAAATCTTTTGCGCGATTTGCCTCATTTCTCCATTTGCTCGCCGATTACTTGGTGTCCATCTTTTCTTGATCTCCAGCTTCCTCCAATGCGGAGTACGTATGTTGTGGATCAGCATCATTTCTCTTGGTTGTGGACTCGAGAGATATAACTCAACAATTTATCAACAAACGTATTTAATGCTCAATTGCCAGATTGACTTGATAGACAGCGTAGATCACTGGGTGAGTGGGATCGGCGAAAATAACGTCCAGTGGATGAGTTGTCTTCTTCTTTGATGGCAGAGAAATATCGAGAGGGATGTTTTACTTTGTCTTGGGTATCTAGGTAAGATTAGATCTTCAAGATGGTTTCTTATCAGGATGCCAGCGACTCCTGTCATTCAATCGTAAGATATCTGATCATCATATTTGACCGCGGAATTGACTTTTTTCATATTCTTGAAATGATACTCGGCCTCGATATCAAAATCTTGCTGTTATTCCAAGATTGTCACTATTCATAAATAGACGCTGGATTGATTGTATTTATCAACGTGGTCAAACTGACGCGGAAGTCAGACGAAGCATAAGAAAGAGGGTACAGTGAGAAAGGAGAGATTAACATGTAGATGAAATGAAAAGCAAGATCATGAGATCCAAGTCTCCTATTTCCTCCTCTGGAATAATTTCAAAATCTCCTCGTTTCCCACTGCAGCTGCAATATCCAACGCCGTTCTCCCCTTCGAATCTTCATCTAGCACCTCACATCCATACTTCTTTACTAACGCCTCAAACAAATCTGCTCTTGCTTTTTTTTGTTCTTTGCGATTTTCTGAAAGTGCATGCATAACAGGTTTATTTGCCGCCACAAAATGTAGAGCCCCTGTTCCTTCATTGTTTGTAGCCTTGAAGTCCGTACCATGCTCTTCATACCACGGTAAACGAGATTGGCCCCCTCCGCCAGCTAGATATACCAGTAAAGGTGTCATGCCCGCATCATTCCGCGCGTCTATAAACCCACCTAAAGAGAGAAATTGATCCATTACTCGAAAGGAATCCTCCGGCTTGGTGTAAGGACGTCTGCGGGTTAGATGGTGTAACGCAGTATTGGATGTTGGATCTGGCTCTAGAAGATCAGCACCCCCGTCATTTACGAGGATGCTGACAATATCGGTGAGAGTTGTAGGCATAGAACCGTCTGATAAAACACGATGGAGGGGAGAATACCCCTCATTATCTTTTTGGGTAACAAGAGAACGAACACCTGGAATGGAAAGAAATAATGGTGCCGTTTCGGAGGTCCATTTGGAGAGTAGATAAAAGATTATGTGACGGCCTTCGTTATCAACTGCCAAGTAATCGAGAGAGGGGCCATGGGTTGCCGAGTTTACTAGGTGTAAATAGGGAGGTACGTATGGTGGTTGTGGCTTTTCGAGTTTAGAAGGTGTAACATGTGGGTATTGACCTTCCCTCTTAGTGGAGTTGGAAATGGCACATAAGAGAGCTGTTCGACCATATTTATCCCTAGTGTTCATATCTATTCCTGGCCTTTCAAAAAATGGACGGAGGGTTGAGGACGTGGCATTTGCGAAAAGATAGTGTAAAATGCTTTCCCCCTCTTCGACAGCCAAATCAACCCTAGCACCATGATCCAGTAGAAGTCGTATCATCTCTGCAGCTATAGAAGCAGAATATGCTTTCGGACCCTTTGGAAATGCTGCCACTACGATGGGATATTTCCTGGCCACATTGACCGTCGCACACCGAGATCGGTAACTAGAGTCTGTTGAGTTGTCCGGCACGTTAGGATCAACTCCGTTTTGGAGGTACAGCTGAAGAGTCCTCACATCTCCGTATTCTATGGCTGATATGAGAACGCTTTTCGTTCCTCTATTAACATCTGCCCCGTGTTTTAGTAGAGTTCTAATGGTCTCTTCATCGGAACCGGCCTTGTTGAGAGCTGTGAGGCCTTCCGGATTCACTCTATTGGGGTTAGCTCCCAGTTTAAGGAGCGCCTCACAACATTGAGTGCGGAAGAAGTTTTCTCTTGCTGCCGAACCATTTTCAGGGTATGTACTTGCAATTTCTAGAGGAGTACGACCCTTCGCATCTAAGATATCTAATTCGGCACCTGGGAGTATGTTAGTAATTCCTATCAAGAGCTTTCCATACTTTCAGTTGATTAGATGAAAACATGCATCGAAGTAAAGTGCTCATTCTAAGAGAATGACACGAACTCTGATTCTCCATCCCTGGCCCCTTTTTTCCGGATACGATACCAGGGTTCTGAGATGAATCAAAAAGGAAGCTTACCGTGTTCACCCAAGTATTGAATAGCCTCAACTTGCCACCAGGAATCCCCTTTTGCTAAGATATGAAGTGCTGTTTGTCCTTGAATTAATTCTTCAGTCATATTAACAATACTTCTCTTTTTTGTCACATGACGCGCGTTTATATCCACTTGTCCTATTTCAATCAAAAGTTTGACCATATCCATATTCCAGACCGGCCGCTCACAGGCCACGTGCAGTAGTGGTCGAATAACGCTCCATCCACCAGAAAAACTATCTGCAATAGGACCGGTATGGCGTGGGTCATCGAATAGTTTTGCCTTAAAAGTCATTAGTGTTTGAAAAGTGATCATTAGACTCGTGATAAGGTCGAGTGTAGAAGATAGAAACAATAGTCTACAGGAGAAGTTATGAAAAGAAGAGTAGAAGGGAATCGAACGAAGAAGACGTGGCTATTATAGTCTGTGGTTACAAGTGAGATAAAATGAAGAAATAGGCTTTGAAGGATAACTATACTTGTTGCGCCGTATAGTTCTGAGCGCTTGGTACTTCAGAACTCGATAGATATTACCCCTCTGTATCAATCTAACAATCGATCAGGGGAACTGGAAGAGTTTAATCAAATACGAGAGGACTTATATTCAAAAGATGGGGAGAAAAATGGAAGTTGTAGGTAGGTAAGAAAAGAAATATCCATACACTGGAAATTATCTTGTCCATGAATTCAGTCAGACCATAGTGCGCGAACTGGGCGATTGGCGGTCCTAGATCTCTCATCAACAGAACGTTGTCCGCTCGAGTGAAGTCAAATCCTCTCGCAACCATGCATTCCATAGTTATTTCATTCAAATCGCAGACTTTGCTTTTCATACAGTCGATATCTTCGTAGGTGCAATCATTCAGCGCTTTTTCAGTACTGATGATTGGTGCCATGAGTTGACTTTCTGCAAAACTCTTGCTTTTCGTAAAGTTTTCTCCCCTTATGACATATACTAGCTCCGCGCATTTTGTGTAACGTGCCGAAATAATAGAATTTGCAGTATCAGCTCCGGCCTTTATAAGCATTTTTGCGATGATACCAATACGGCACGTGATATGTTGTGTTTCTTTGTCCATTGATCCCATTATGTCAGAAGAGCTTGGGCGGACCCTGAAAGGATCTCGAAGGATTAGATCAGGAGAGTTTCCCCTTTGCAGGATTTTCCAGATCTGATCTTCCTCCGGAAACATGGCACATGCCATTAGTGGAGTTGCCCCCGAAGTTGCTCGCTTGGTTTTCTTGTCAATATCAGCACCAGCTGAGATCAAGATACTGACGGATTCTGGTCTGCCTGATACGCAGGCAAAATGAAGAGGTGTCATACCATCCATATCTTGAGCGTTGATATCGATGGTAGAACCATTTTTTTGAGCATAGTTGAGTATCATTGATAAGATACCACACTGCCGGCCCAGAGCAGCGCAATGAAGTAGCGTGCGTCGATTGAAGGACTTGGCATTTAAGTCGGCGCCAGCCATTATCAAAGCAAATACCGAAGACTCTGAAGTAGCACAGGCGTAGTGAAGAGGCGTGTAACCTTCCATATCTTTCACGTTGACGTCAAGTTCAGGGCACAGCCGACGAACGACGGATATGAAAGTCTGTTTAATATCTATGGTCAAAATTCTTTGCCCATTGCCATAGGCTGGTCCCATGATATGTGCTGCAGTCTGTTGTCGATAGTTTTTGGCATTGACTGAGACCCCACTTTCACACAGGTACTTGATCAAGGCGATATCCTCTAAGCCTCCATCGAAACGTGCTGCGACTTCATGCAGCAAAGTGTTGCCATTCATGCTATCCGTCCAATTGAGATCTGCCTCATGACTTACCAATACCTTAAGAAGCTCAACGGAGTTGCGCAAGTGACAAGCTAAATGTAATACTGTTTTTCCCTGCAGCCATGTTCGAGCAGAAATAGAAGCCTTCTTTCGATGCTTTAAAAGTGCTTCTACCACTTTTATATTCGAATATGGATATCTAGTGACAGCTCTAAGTAAGACCGACATGCCTTTACGGTCATACAGTTCTATGTTCATATCAGTGTCAATTATAGCGCCTATCAGCTCTGGATCTAAATCACTATATATATTGTGTAGACATGTTTCATCAAGATTGTTTTGGATATTAACATCAGGCTCAAAGCTCAATATGGTAGGGATTAGGTTGCCTGGTTTAATTGAACGTGATCTGCAAGCATGATGCAGGGTAGTATCTCCATTGATATCTTGGGCGTTAATATCAGCACCGTGCTTGACGAGTAATTCAATGAGCTCGGCTGGCTTCTGTCTGTTAACCACCACACTAGCACAATATTAGTCCCGAATAAACTATGAATGAGCTCCTGATTATGAGTGTTTTCATATAACAAATCTCGAAACCCAAAATCATTGGATTGGATAACAAACCAGGGGCTTAAATGACGGAACAAAATTCATCTGTCAAGACTGAACAGTTGATTCAAGATACAATTATGTTCCAGATCAGAAGTAACAAAAATAGAATGATTCGTGCGTACCAGTGTAATGGAGTTACTCCATCCGAGATTCGAGCTTGGTTAGGGTTTGCTCCGAAGGCCAAAAGTTGTTTGGCAAGGTCAGTCGATGAGAGCTCTGTACAAGCTCGGTGAAGCAAAGTCCCGTCATCAAAGTTCCTGGTGCACTATGATAGAGTAAATAAATGTCTGGAATTGATTCAAGCGAAGATCAAGTTTTATCGCATATATAGAAGTAAATAGGGATTTTGAGAGGATAAAAGAAAATGAACTGCAAGATGTGACGAAGAAGGAATTGTCAAAGAACTTTTTCTACTTACTGGATCAGCACCAGCCGAGAGTAAAAGCTCCAGGGCAATTTGAGAATATCGATGACTTTTGGGTGAAACTGCAAGTAGCAGAGGAGTGTCGCCGTTGTTATCACGGGCTTCAAGATCAGCACCTGCTAACAAAAGCATATCTAAGATTTCTTTCGCAGCAGGTCGATCCTCTTGTTTCATTGTAGCCATTGCAAGACTGTGCAGTGGGGTTCTACCTGCTAATCCAATCATATTTCTCCTCCCCGTGATGAAACTATATGAGCAAACGTTCGTTGCGGTTGCACTACCTAGGCTTGGTATCCCCCCTTTCTCAATCAAGGCCTTTACAGATTTTGGTTCAAGGGAACTCGTCGCTACCATGAGAACAGTCTGTCCACTTAAAATTTCCATGTCAGCATGTTCCACGAGTACTTGTGCGTTAGGAGAGACATCTGTCTTTTCCAAAATAATGGAGACTAAAGCATGATGTCCATGATGAGCTGCTCGTAATAAAGCCGCTTCAAGCTCTTTTGTTTCGCAGTATGAAATCATCTCTACTATTGTTTCAACATGGCCGGCACTACTGGCGAGCATCAATGGGTGTTGACCAAGTTTTGATAATGGTTTCCCACAGCGTCCTACTAAATGTCTCGTTCTAAGCGTAAGAGGGGAAACACCTGGGAGAGGTCAGTAAGAAGAGAATAAGTAGTGTACCAAAGCCTGGGGTGTAAAACATGATGTAGAAGTTTGCAATGCTCTGGGAGCCTTATATGTTTGAGTACAATTTGATATCCAGGAGCGATTCAACATTACAAAGAAGTTCGAGAACCAAAAGTCCTCCACTTTGGGCCACAGCCCATATCATTAGGTATTATGATCAGGAAATTCAACATACCAGCGCCAAGCAGGAGCTTAACCACTCCTGCGTGGTTGTTTGAGGCTGCAACGTGAAGAGGCTTCAAACCATCATATCCGTCGACGTCTGGCTCTGCACCAGCATCTAGTAATTTCTTCACAACTTCAGTATGCCCTCCTTTAGCTGCCCAAAACAAAGGTGTTCTTTCAGTACTATCTCGCATCTCACAATCTGCGCCATTTTCCAACAGCCTTTGTGCCCAACAGCCGAACCCGAAGCCAGAAGCTACGTGGAGATGGGAAGTCATCTCTGATGCTAGAGCTGGATCAAATTGTCGCCGAAACTCGGAGCTAGCGACAGGTTTCGTCGTCTGGCCGGCCAACGTTGACCAAGCTTTAAATGCCTGGTTCTCAGGCTTACAGAAGTCTTCCAGCGTCTCATAGAAACCTTCATCTTCACAGTCGTATCTTTTGGCATGATAAGTCCATTTCTTTGCAGCATATTCAACAAATGGATATTGTATAAATGATTTACCAAAGTCAAATAGCTGTCGCTTGGATTTCTTAGTGTTACCTCTACCATTTTTTGCATCATACGAGATTGGGTATGAGGAAAATGCACCTCCTTGGAGCTGGCCGATACATAGAAGCGCAATCTCGCGATGGGCATTTCTCGGTTCGATAACAGGGAATTGAGAATTTATCAATAACTTGTGTGTAATTCGATTAGAATCCAACAGAAATTCTGTAAAAGAATGATGCAAAATTTGCACAACCCCATCTTCCATGACTTCGAGAAGCGGACCACAGCCAGACCTGACAATTTCTTTAGCGTCTCTGCCACTTTTGGCAAGGTGAGGATTGTCTTGAATAGCCTTGGCAATTTCTATCAGACGCATGGGTCGTGCCGACTGAGTAATTAGTTGTAAAATGATGATTTGTATATCCCGATGGATCTTTGTAAGTGAAGCATGATCAATAAGTACCCTGTTATACATCTCTTCAAGGCCTACGGGCAATTTCGCTATCATTTCTTGTATTGAAACATCACTGTGCTCTTTATTCTTGATAGATTGAGCGATTTGATCAAGCATCAGACGGGCATATAAGAAAAGGCCTTCAGACCGCTCGCATACAGTGTTTTGAATAAAACTTTGCATCGTCTCATTGATGCCATCCTCAGCAAATTGCTCTACGCGCTGACGAACAAAAATCGATATATCACGTTTTACAAGTTCCTCCTCGAGACTGACGTGAATAACTTGGGGATCTTTGAACACTCGTTGGAGATATTGTTTTGGTCGACTGGTCAACAAAACCTTGACTTGACCGGGTCGAAATGATCCCAGGGCATTAAGCTGAGAGAGGAATTCCTCGTCCATATTCATCTCATCTAATGCATCAGCGATACAATAGACTCGTTTGAGCATTCTTAGGCCAGTCAAAAGGTGTTTCCACAAATGTGCTGTGGTAATACTTTCCAGGCTCTCTTTATTTTTCACATGCTCAAACAGGTTCAATTGCAAGGCTTCGCTGAAGGGCAGAAGCTGGCACATCCAATCTCGCAATATACCACGAGAAGTGCGATTTGTTTCGATAATTTGTCTGAAGAAAAAGAAGAGAACGGGAACGGACTCATTGGCCGAAAGCGATTGAACCATTGAGGCTGCAAGGACACTCTTGCCTGCACCCGGAACCGCCTTGATCCAAATAGACCCATGGTCAGCAGATGAATGCCATTGATTAAATTGTGAAGTCTCTCGAATCCATTCCCCTGTATTGCGGGCTTTAGATGAAGCATGGCGATTGAACTCGCTGGATGATGCTAGGTAATCTGTAGGTTTCAGCCATTTCCTGATTTTCTCGAGATCTGGTTTTTCATCCACAAGCATTTGTTTGACAATGTCTTCGGATTCAATCATTTCGAAATCATCAGAACTCATATCTGACATCATGATGGAAAAGTCACTGTAATTGTTGATTGTTGATTGATGAAAATGAATCGTGAATGATTTCGAGAGGATGAAGACGGTGGGGTGGGGTTTCTTATTTAGGCAACAGCACCATGCATCTCCATCCGTGGCACAGCAATAAGCGAGATGGCATACGTGTACGCGCGGACGAGTGTAACTTTCTGTTTGAATGTCTGTAATAGATGTCTATATTCAAAGATAAATATATAATTTTGGAACGATATATTAGCTGAGGTTGAGTTTCCTCTTTTCTGACTAGTTTGGTACTCGAACCAGAACTGGAGCATTTTGTGGGCAAGATTGCTAGACATCAATTCTGAGACACCCCTTTCGCTTATACGAATAGACAGGAATGAGAAGGATGTGAAAGTCTAATTTGATAGAAATCTAACTGAAGCTATTGCTGTAGACGTGATCGGCTGATCTAGACCCAAAAAAACCAAGCTCAATCTCATCACCAGGGATTGGAAGTCGAACAACATGATCACGATTCAATATTTGCAAGATTTAAAGGGAAAGTGCAACCCGCCTTATTTCTCTTAGCTGGAGGCCCTTAGATATCTATTCTGGGAGTTTATATACCTACCCGTATGACAGGGCTTCATACCGAACATTATGATAGCATTCTACCAGGACGAATCGATGCTTTAAAGAAACTCAATTATCAACTGAAGACGAGATCACACTCTGCGGAACGATTACTCCCTTGACTTCATGTTCTCTTTCAATATAATTTGGATTGCGTTTACATCTCTTGGGGATGACATGCACAAACGTATCGGGGCTGCTCCGAGAAGTACTCCAAAACATCTTCGACAACATCCATTCACAACACATTAGAAACACTCAAATGTATATCAAAATTTCGCGAAGAGATTTTCAGATTCAATTTTGACTATCTTATGTAATCACAATGTGTTTCGAAGACGGATGCAAACTATTACCACAAGATTGTCCCAGCTAGCATGGACAGGGCTTTCGTTACTATTCGTATTATCTGCTAATACATCAGCTTCAACGAGACTTCTTCATCGACATATGGCACACCTTACGTTGCAAAGGCAATTATGCAGTATCCTTAGCACAACAGCCCGAAAGACCATACGGACTACCTCTACGAGTGCCAAACCTACCAAGCCACTATACGAGAATGATCTCTCGAGCCTCAAGAGACGCCGAGCAATTTGCGCATATACGAAGCAAGATAAGCCAAAGGATGTGCCATGGAATCTTTTACCACCGGAACAGGCACAGATGATGGAAACCCTACATTCTGCACATTACAGTCAACCCATCTCCAAAAATGGTATTCAATCCTTGCGCAGAATCTATATTCTATTTGCAAAACTTTCCAAGACGAAGTATATGGAGGCCGTTCAGTGATGATAAAATGGCGAGTGTAGATTGGACAAGAGAGAAGCATTCGATATTCCCTCAAATGAAAACTTGACTGAGAATAATTTATTGCTCCAGATGAATACAAACGCGGTAGAGTGCAGTCTTGAAGAATAGGCAGATGGAACGAAGTAGAAGGATGTAAGGGCATAGGATACCAACGCATTATTGACAACCCCTACTTATGGACTCGGAATCATATAGATTAGAGTATGCATGTTTATGGGCGATGCTTCTTTACAAGCTGGAGTGATTATTGAACAATAAGCAAATGCTGGACTGGCAGATATTTAGGAAGACATGAGAATGGATGTAATAAAGTTGTAGAGCAGCATCGCTTTAACGCTGAAAGATAGAATCAGCGGAGAGTCATACATAATACTTTTGATTTTTAAAAAGAGGAATTTCGAGTATCTCATATGAAGATTGGGTAACTTGCTGATTCTGGTCTGCTTCTACTATTTAATATACAATTAAATCGCTGGATTGTACTGCTTATAGACATAGACCATTGGATTTGGAATATAAATTACACATGTTCTTCACAGGGTGCTCAAGTGCTCTCTCAGATAGTTGACATAAGTCACCACAGCACTCTTCAAGGATCTCATTTATATGTAATAGTATCATGACTTATATTGAGATGCATTCCTCCAGCAAAATTGAATGATCTTCCAAGTACGGCTGTCAGACAACTACCGGAGGGGAGATAGGAGAGATTGTAATTCTTGTGAATTCTACGGCATGTGTAATGATCACTGTCGGAGGATTATTGTATGTCTTCGCATTTTAACCTATGACGTATACCAAGTCCTCCTCTTCAGAAAATTCACACAAGAACACTTATCCAGTCTCATGCTTTATTTAGCGGTCTCTGGTTTGGGAAATATCATGATGGTACGTAACAGGAGTTCTAATAGTCCCGACTCTAGTCAGATCATCAATCTATTTCGGAATATTCAATTGCTTCCCAATATCAAATTAACTTGGAAAAATTTATCTGTGAACTCGGTGGTAGTCTCTACCTATAATTCTAAAGTGGGCAACGATCGGGACTATTGGAAACTCTACATGATAACTTGTTTGCTCTTGATAGCATGTTAGACTGCGACACTAGACTTTGTCGGACCTAAGGTAGTTAAAACCTCGGCGTCGCTACCTCATCATCGCTTCCTCGCCGATATGGTTTACCTATTTGCCAAGCAAAATTGTATGGTTTTTCGTGCCATTGCATCCGATTCAACGCACCTAGATACGCGCTTCCCTTCGCTCGCCCCGCCCAAATACACAGGTGGGTTATAGAACGAAAGATCACCAATTTTTTCCTAACTAAATCACTGAATTTCCCAATGTTTCAAATCGACAAAACCTCTATATTAGTGTTTCAGAACGATTAAAACTCTTTCTAGAGGAGATGCATTGTTTTCTTTAGTACTCTTTTTCATTGATTATTTCGATTGGTTCACGAATTGGAACTATTTTATCTTGATCCTTCCAGTATGCTTTACAACACTAGTGTCTGAATGGAACGTCATGTGTAAATCAACCTTGTGTGGGAAAGTGATAAAATGACATCTTATTAGTAGGTAATTAGTAAGGAATTGAACGTTTCGAAACCTGAAACTATCAAATCTGATAAAGTTTCTGGGAATTTCCCGCCGAGCAAGTAAGCATATGACCAGAGCCATTTCGCCGAGGGAAGAGCTGTTCAGAAAGGGGTTTCAACGCAACTGCCGAATCACTTGAAATCTCATAGAAGTGGAAGACTGAAATTCCGTATCATTTGGCAAAAATCAGAGAAGACGTTGGATGTTGTTCTTAGACATTCGTGCTAGTTGAGATTGCCACGGTGCGTTGCGTTGCGTTGCGTGAGAACCTACGAAGGATGTGATCAATATCCGTTCCGACCCATAGTGACGGATATGCCGATACTATGACACAAGCAAGAAATTTCTGCTTGTTCTCAGGCTGGAGCAATGGTGTGTCTAATTACTACGTCATTTTTCTCAAAAATCAATCACATTAGGTTTGTGCGTTCAAGTTTGGAAAAAAGAGGCGACTGCGAAATGGACAGCGTGGCCTTAATCACAACGGGCACTGGCGCAATTTTTAATAGAGGAAGCTAGATTCAATTAAAACAATAGATTAATAAAATAACAAGTTCTCAATAGAAAAATTTCAAGCATTAGAGCAGTAAAATGGTGTGAGGGGAGTTAATAGTGAAGACTACCTGGGTGTACCCCCGGGGGTATATAGACAACCCGAATAACATCTCAACGGCGATCCGCACCACATCTAGCATCTAGTATAATGCCGTAGAAGCTGAATACTCTCAACACTGTTCTGATAACATAGGTGCGAACCCAGATCGGAAACGGATAGGGCATCGTAAACCCGAAGTGCAACTAAGCTAGTCTGTTTTCGGTTTCTCAACATGTATACTTCTTCACGAGACACTAGTCAGTCTCTCCTGGCACCGAGTCTTTAGTTAATATTCCAAGGAGAAAGGACTCATAATCCTAGTTAAGTGAGTAGCGTGGCTTCTCTACTATTGAAGCTCCAAGATGCTGGCAATTTGGCAAACTAGCACTCAAACACACAACTTTATAGCAAGACTGAGTGTAGAATTATCACCTCATCACGCGTTGTATTAGCTCTATAAGACAAGATTCCAAGAAGAAACTGTTGGAGAAGAAAGGAAGATACGATGCCGTGCAGATAGTTCATAGGCAAATCAAACTTATGCAATGGAAATCTTATTCAAATTCGAAGAATACCACCAATTCACCAACTATCAACTAACACTTTCTGCACTACGCCGCACAACACCTACGCCTTACCTAGGTATGGGATACCCACCTACCCGATATTTCATTACTTCAACTGCCGCAGATTTTCTGCAATACTCTATTAAGCATATTTATTTCCCACACACCGGGACGTGAAACAAGTGAAAGCGAATTGTGAAGCTAAAAGAACGACATAACAGATGAATAAAGGAAAGAATCTTTGGCCAAAGTTGAAAGTGCAGGGCCTTCGTATACGATATTGGAGAAACACACTGGTGCAAAACTACGATGTAATGTTCAATTGAAGACACCAACGGACTTCGCCCTCTTTTCAACACATTTTCTGACCAATTCCAACAATAAATCCGAAGCTTATTATCATTTCGTCTATCCGCTTCAGCCTTGAGATATGGGAAATGAGTTTCCTTTCTAGATATATTGCTAGAGTAAGCTCTATCATGTGATGTGATGAGATGTGATGCACTTACTGTTTACTGTGTCCTTATGACCCAACTCAAAACTCACCGCTCAGTCAAGGTTGGTATACAGCGTAAGCAATGAAATGAAGGCCAATGTACCCATGTATAGATTACTCTCCCTTGTGCACCATAAAAAAAATCTATCACCCACTCTATGGAGCTTTTCCCCGGCTCGCTCTGTGATTAAGCCTTATTGTCATATCGAAGGAGTTCACTCTTCACACATGCAAATCAACTCAAAGGAAAGTAAAGTAAAAATCATGAAATTTATTATAAGGTATAAAATAATCAAACTTCCACAAGCCCATATTGTTTCTTT